ACTACGTCAAGTATGACCATGGAGATAACCAGACAACTACTACGTCAAGTATGACCACGGAGATAACCAGACAACTACTACGTCAAGTATGACCACGTAGATAACCAGACAACTATTACGTCAAGTATGACCACGGAGATAACCAGACAACTACTACGTCAAGTATGACCATGGAGATAACCAGACAACTATTACGTCAAGTATGACCACGGAGACAACCAGACAACTGCTACGTCAAGTATGACCACGGAAATAACCAGACAACTATTACGTCAAGTATGACCTCGGAGATACCCAGACAACTACTACGTCAAGTATGACCACGGAGATAACCAGGCAACTATTACGTCAAGTATGACCATGGAGATAACCAGGCAACTACTACGTCAAGTATGACCACGGAGATAACCAGACAACTACTATGTCAAGTATGACCATGGAGATAACCAGACAACTACTACGTCAAGTATGACCATGGAGATAACCAGGCAACTATTACGTCAAGTATGACCATGGAGATAACCAGGCAACTACTACGTCAAGTATAACCATGGAGATAACCAGACAACTATTACGTCAAGTATGACCACGGAGATTACTACTGCTGCCAGAGGACTCGCATGGGTAGCAGAACAAGCGGCCACATATGCAGTGATCGTTTTAGACTCTGAACATGCTTCAGAAAATCGCTACAGGTGATCGACGCTCTGAATTGGTAGAAAACATTCAAATGTCGCAGTTAACCTCCATCATCTGGATCTACACACCTGGGCACGCAGGAGTAAATGAAATGAAAGAGCTGACCAGCTGGCAAGTAATGCACCAATGCAAATGGAAAGAGGCACGGGGAGAGCTGGTATCAACGTTGTATGGGCTAGGTTGGGAGATAATGGCGAATCTCTGACGCTAATATGAGGTGAAGAACGTCTGTATCGTTTCTGAGATAAAGACAGCAGGCACTATAACAAAATCCTCATGGGAACAATCAGTAGAGGTACCGTGGATTGGTTGCTGCATCAGAGGACTGAGCACGCATGGATTGCCCAGTGTGCAAAGACGTCGATCGTAATAACATAACATAAGTGAATTGAACTGATATAATGCGGATGTTAACTCAGTTGGGGTGAGCTGTGTCAGTTTCAATGCAAAAATTTCATCATCATCATCCCGTAAGACTACGTGCCGTTGGGTCATTAGTTTCTGTTGACTGATCAGCTCTCTCCACCTTTGGTGGTCAGTTGAGATGGACTTCATGGTTGCATTCCTGAGATCTGTCCAGTCAGTCAGATTCTGTAACCAGATCTTTCTTGGTCTACCTCTTCTCCTCTTTCCCTCCATACCATTGCATGGCCATACCATTGCATTTTTCGCCTTTTCACTGTAGTTGAACATGAGTGAACAGTTGTAGTTCACTGTAGGTTACATTTACGGAGGGCAAAAAAAAAACACACACACACACACACGATAACAATGAAAGTAAAAACAAAGATCCATTTAAGCAGCACATATATTGAGAAGTATGTATAATGTGATGAAATATTTGAGAAATAAGAATCGCATTTCAGTAAGAAACTATACAAGAACGTTCAATGTTTCCTTCGTGATCGACAACCACTGCGCATGTGTAGTACACGTAAACTGCATACAGCAAGAGTGAAAGTTCGCACGGGGCCGCCGAAGTTGGTACTTTTGTTTGGTTTTGCCGTGCAGAGCTGTATTTGATACTTTTTATAAATTGTTTTTCAATGTTTGTAATCTTGGCATTGTACGCTGGATCAAGTGATTTTTACTAAAGGAAGACGGGAGTCATACAATTTCACAGCCTTGGTAAAGATGAATACTTTGAGGGGGGGGGGGGAAGAATGGAGAAAACTAATAGTGCAAGCTACCAACTGACTGGAGATGGGAAACCTCAAGCACATTTTGTTTCACAATTTCAGAATAAAATGTGGAGATTAAAATCGCCTTTCATTGGTATCAAAATTTATACTTAGTTCTTGTAGCATTACCTTATTCCACTGCGGTTGTAGAAAGAGTTTTCGCTCTGCTTAACAGTCTTAAAGATTAAAAAACAATCGTTTTTCTTTAAAGACTTCAACAATAAATAAATTAATGAGATCAAAGTTATTGTTCCAGGACTTTAATTGAATCAACTGACGGAAAGTCACCACGTCAACTGATTTTTTTTCAAAGATTTGTGTGTATGTTTGTGTAACAAACCAAACAGGAACAAATGGTACGCAGAGATGTAGAATAAATAAGTTTTATTCAGTTCTTATATAATGTAAGCCAGCATTATATATATATATATATATATATATATATATATATATATATATATATATATACATTTTACCCGTTTTTTTTATATTTACAATTACAGATGTGTGCTTTTTGGTGTTCTTTGGTGCCCTTTATTTCACACACACAAACACCACACGCACGAATTTGTCCCTATTCCCAAAATATTTTGCCAGCCCTGAGTTGGCGTCTGCCACAGCCGAGGGCTCCGAGTTTTTCAACTACAAACCTTATCGAGTTGGAACTTTTATCTCGACAACAAACCGGCATTCGTATGTTCTGTATTTCACTAATAATAATTTTTTTTTTTGGGCACTAGTTTTAAAATTGAATATTCTCATAAACTTGAGAAGTGGATGAACATATTGTCCGTGTAGGCATAGGAGGGGACTTATTGATAGATTAGATGTTTACTTGTTGGGTTAGGTAAACTGGTAAAGTAAAAGTAAAATATGTGTTTCTAAACTACAAAACTCGTCAGATTTATTTCTTGCTTACTTTCTTTTTAACGATCGGTATCTCTACGTTCTTTCATTTCACATATATTAATGTCTGTTGTTACAGTTTTTTTTTGGGCATTATGGTTTAAAATTAGGTTTGGTAACCTCGCGGAAGTGGCCGTTGAGTTTGACGATTCCGATTACAGTTCTAGAGGCCCTGTAGGAACACAGGCTTACTAATTACTACTGAGAGTATTACTATTAGTATTACTACTTTCAACTTGGTCTTCATAGACATTCTTTCTTTCTCATTGTTCATAACATAAAACGTCAACACGTCGTTGATATTTGTTTTTTTACTGTCGTTTTTGTTTTTAAAATTATGTTTTACAATTAGACGTTATTACTTTTGACGTTTGAGAAGTGAATAATAAACAGTGAAATGGCTTATAGTTATAGGAACAGTCTCCACCATTTCAACAACCTAATTCAAACTTGGTAGCATAGTCTGTTCCAGAAGTTGTGCCCTCAGACTAACAGATATCTCACTAACGGATCCACACAAATGTTTGCATGTGATCATCGGCTCTCCTTGCACCTTTGGACGCTAGCTGGACGGCTTCGGTCGGCTTAGTGGGAGTTCTCTCCCTTGGCCGCATTGACAACAACGAGCGGAAAAGTCACGAATCAAACATACTTACCTATCGTCTTGACGCCACAAATTTTTTTTTAATATTCCTCAAAATCATAATTTGTGTACCCCTAAAAATTGGAATATACAGCAATTGACATGAATTGTTTACTTTAAAACCACGAGTTTTGAGATTGTTTTGGAAATCATTTTACATGTGCAGTGATTTTTTTTTATAGCTTCTTCTTCTTCTTCGCGTTCACCAGCTGTACACTCTGGTGGAAAGTTCTGGTTGCTCGTCCACTACTGAACTGCAGTCCTGCTCCAGAACATGAGTGTTGCGTGTGCATCAGTTTTACAGATCTCATTCTCTTGAATACAGACTGTTGGTTCCTTGCCTCTCCGGCAGATGCACTCAGACTTCAAAGGAAGCTCCCCAATTAGTCGACTCTTACGACATGCTTTTGGGGAGGCAGTGGGTCTATTCTTGTTTTCCCCACAATGGGGCCCCAGAACCCACACGGGGGTATTTTGATAGCATATTCCGCATACAATGAAATATTGTTCCTGTAACTCATAGGAGGCTTATACATGAGATTGACCACCTAAGATTAAAATACTATGAACTGAGTTACATTTTTGTAAACAAGATTAGAACAGTACATGACATTCATTGAATGGGGTCTCAGCCTAAGTATAACAAAACCACTTAAAAATTTTTTGTAAAGATAGAAAAATAAATGATAACCTCCTAGATATCAAATTGACCGGACACAACATTCAAACTGTAAACACTGCTAACTTTTTTAGGGATGACACTGGACCAACAGCTAAACTGAAAGAAACAGATAGATCCCCTGGTCAAGACTTCAAAATATGCTGAGATATCTCAAGGGAATGAGCAAACTTTATTTTCAAAGGGTTACAAATTAGGCACACAGTCCTGTCTTACATTCGGCCCTTCCAAACACCCATCTTTCACACAGCAGTTGTATTTCATAAATGGAATGCTAGCACTAAACTAATGCTTATGTTCTATAAATCATATATTCGTGGAAGGATGGACTGTGGTAGCATTCTGTATGATTTCGCAGCAAAAAGTAATAAATATAAATTGGAAAACATTCAGCACGAGGCACTATGCATCATAGGGACTCGGGCAGATGCAGACTCATACAACATTCTTGTTAGGGAGGCAGTAGGTCTGTTCTTGTTTTTCTCACAGTTGGGACCTATAACTGACACAGGGAGCACCAATCTACAGCCACATGATGGTGATGATGAGGAATGTCAGACACAGTTCTTGTTCTTGAAATTTATTCTCCATTCGATTTGGTTTAAAAATACAAAATATTATCAGTTCATGTTAACTCTTCGAGTCCCAAGGAACGCATCATACGTTCATAGGTTACTGCCTAGAAGCCCAATGAACGCATGATGCGCCGATTTTATGTCTCTCTTGACTACCAATTGACCTGTGATGCTAAACCCTCTGGGACTTAGAGAGTTGAACAGTTGTGAAGTTATGAAATTTTAGTACACACTTAAATACGTGGAAAAGTGCAAGAGTTAACGGGCGTGGTAGTCAGTAGATTAACTGTCATTATTGATTATTATATTTTTTCAGGATGGAATTCATAAACGTAATTGTGTGCCTGGTGCTTCTTGTCATTCTGAGTTCTATACATGCCGGTGAGGACTTCTATTCCCTTCTTGGCGTAGACAAAGGGGCATCAGTAAAAGAAATCAGGAAAGCATTCAAGAAGCTGGCAATCTTGAAACATCCTGATAAGAATGTTGTAAGTAATGGCTAACAGTAAAATTACTAAAGATGAGAATGTTGCTTGTAATAGCTAAAGAGAATGTTGCAAGATATGGCTAAAGATGAGAATGTTGTTTATCATATCTAAAGATAAGAATGTTGTTTATCATAGCTAAAGATGAGAATGTTGCAAGTAATAGCTAAAGATGAGAATGTTACAAGTAATGGCTAAAGTTAAGAAAGTGGTAAGTAATGTCTTGAGATAGATTGCTATAGATGAGAATGTTGTAAGAAATGGCTTAGGATAAGAGCAACATATTGTAGCCAACAGTGTGTTAAATAATAGTAAAGATAAATATAATTGATGTAAAAATTTATTAATAGATAAAGGTTAAAATTTTGTAAGTAATGGTTAAAACTAAAATGTTTATACATAGTAGATAGAGATAATAAAAGAATATTTATACACAGTAGATAGAGATAATGAAAGAATGTTTATAAATGTATAAATATAGATAGAAATAAGAAAAGAATGTTTATACATATTAGATAGAGATAAGAAAAGAATTTTTATACATATAAGATGTTTGTTTGTTTGTTTTAGCATCCAGAAGCCATGAGTTGTTAACCCTTAGGCTCGGTATTATGGATATCGCAACCTTTTGACCTTGATTCTATTGTAAATACCGTAAATCTGTGAGAAAATGTGGCTTTCCTGCCTACCCCTGGGATTGAACCCGGACCACAAGGAGTTCGTCACCCGGTCTCCGCGCAATCCGGTTTAGCCAACTACGCTAGAGAGCCGGGCATACATATTAGATAGAGATAAGAAAAGAATGTTTATACATAGTAGACAGAGATAAGAAAAGAATGTTTATACATAGTAGACAGAGATAAGAAAAGAATGTTTATACATATTAGATAGAGATAAGAAAAGAATGCTTATACATAGTAGATAGAAATAAGAAAATAATGTATATACATATTAGAGATAAGAAAAGAATGTTTATTCAAAACTAGAGAAAAGAAAAGAATGTTTATACATAGGTAGAGATAAGAAAAGAATGTTTATACATAGAAGGTAGAGATAAGAATAAAGTAACTGTTAAACCTAACAATTTTTTAATAAATGGCTAAACATAATATTTGTAGTGGTTAATGATGAAAGTACTGAACATACTCGCTAAAGAGGGCCCAGGATGGTGTAGCCGCTAGACGCTTGCCTGTGGGTGGGAAGGTCTTGGGTTCAAATTCCGATGGCATTGAATTTTAAAAAAAAATGACCTTTACTTTCAGGTAGACCAAATCTTAAATATATTCCAGATAAAGTTCTGGGAAGTTAAGTCAGCTGTTGTCATGTTGACTAAATCTTTACCAGGTGCCGATTGGTCTATAAAATATAGTTCTAGCCCTATATGCCCACTATGCCTGAAAGCATGGAAAATTGGCATTTACCTTACTGTTTGTTTGCTCACTAATGAAAAGAATGTTGCAGACAGCAACTAAAGGTGAGAGTATGATTAAAACCAGGTCAGGTATGTGTATTTTGACTAATTGGTTTGTGTGGAGTGGCTGAAACATTGCACAACCTAAGAGCCTATGTGAGTAAGAGCTAGGCTGATTAGACTGGTCTCAAACAAGCAAACATAAAGTCCATTGTACCTGATCGACAAAGGTGGATAAAACTGCATGCAGCCAGCAGCAACTGGTGACCAAACAACACACTTTGTTATAGGATTAGGATGACAGTGATAATGATGAATGCCTTATCATAGAGATTGCATTATTGATTGGTACTCTGAAAAATGGGTGCTTAGAAGGGCGAATGTCAGACAGGCCTGCGTGCCCAATTTGTAACCCTTTGAAAATAAAGTTTGTTCGTTTGATATGTCATTAATATGTTTTTTATGTGTGGAACCTACAGGAAGACGCAGGAGCCCACGATGTATTTATAAAAATAAATCGAGCATATGAGGTTCTCAAAGATGAAGATCTCCGTAAAAAGTACGACCAGCATGGAGAGGAAGGTCTCAAAGACAATTTTCAACAGGGCAGACGGTACGAGAGCTGGCAGTGGTATCAGCAAAACTTTGGTAAGTGGCAGTAACATGCAGAGGATCCATGTCTGTTCCTCAAGGTATTTTAGGCTTGTGTAGCTTCAAACCTCACTCAGCAATGAGGTATATGAGAAAGATGGGTAAAGTGACAAGAAGGGATGAAGTTCACAAGCATGCAATTCGTCATGATCTTGAAACCCAGGCCTTGTAGTGTTGATTAGATCAGTCAGTTACGATGGTACGGACATGTATGCAGAATGGAAGAGAATCGGTGATCCCCTCAGTCACAGGAGGCCAAGAACCAAGGACTAAATAAGTATTTTTGTTGTTGATAGTCCCGTATATTTTTAAAATCCTTTGACACTCATTGGGAGCCACGGTAGTGCAGTGGCTAGACACTTGCCTGCTGGCATGAGTTCAAATCAGCACAGGTGCTGAATTTGTATACTTGACCTTGGCTGCCAGGTCGACCGAGACTAAAATGGATAACTCCTTTTCATTGTCAAATGTATTATGATGCCTGTCTTCTTCTCTTTCATTTTTATTTCATGCAGTCAACACATGTTGCCCCTGTGTTACCAGAACCAATACTGTTGAATGTTAGTTGCATTTTCTTTACAAAATGTTGCAAGCCAACCTCAGCATTTTTTGGCTCCTTGTGGTTTTACTAAATTTTACATTCAGTAGTCTGAAGGTGCTTTCTAATTGTTTGATGCTCATACTATTGTCGATATCAATGGTCTGCTGCCAAATCGCCTGCAGCTGAGAAGTGTTTGGTATGTTGGAATTATGAAACTTTGTTCATAACCTCATGCCACAGTCACCAGCGCAAGGATATGTTCTATGAGCCATGACCGGTATCGCTGTTGGTCCTTACCCATACAGTGTATGCTGGGATAGTTTAGCTCTTACGGGCGCTTTCATTATCATTTACAAGCTAGAAATTGTGAGGGCCCTTTGGGAGCCAGTGAACAGTGCGGAGGCACAGATAGATGATTATGGTCTAAGGAGATGGGCGCTGCAACTAGTTACCAGGGGATCTGGCCGGCGCTCAACACTCAGGGGAAGGATGAGACAGATATACAATCAGACGGTTACTGGTACCATCGGAATTGGAACTTTTTGCTTGCTGTTAAAGATGGTGACTGAGCACTTATGGGAGTGTCCAGAGAGCTGTGATGTTGATTCTTAATTCAACATTCAGCATTCAGTATTCATTATAACTTCTTTAGCAGTTAGACGGTGTGTGTGGGATCTGCCCTGTTTATCTGCCAACCTGATTAAGATTTTTTAAAATCTCAGGATGTAAGCCTAAAAATAGCATTCCATTGAGGACGGAACAATCAATCCATTGATAAAGTAAAATTCTAACTTACTGTGCATCTTATAAAAGAAGTGACTAAGGAGTTTGATGTTAGCCCTTTCACCCAGAGAAGCTGCAGTTGGGTCTAGTTCCCTATGAATGTCCCGAAACCGGCTTATCTGTAGTGACCTTTTTTCTTGATGCGTTGTGTAATGTGATTGGTTCTGTTCATGCCTGCACAGCACTTGGTAGGGCTGGAAATGAATTCATTTACTAAAAATAACATTGTAGAAAAAAAAAAAGGGGGGGGGGGTGAAGGTTAATTGTAAACCAGATGTCTTTGATAAAGCTATGATTATGGAAAATTGTCACCTAAGCCTCAGTGATAGAGGTCAGGGGGTCATAACATAACATGAGTCACCCGAAACATAGATTTTTTTAAAGGCTGTTGGGATGAATTTCATTTGATGCTTTATTCTGTTTATGTTTTACTAATTACCCCCATTATGTGATTATTAATAGGAAAAGGGGGGGGGGGGGGGAGTAAACTGAAGATGAATAAATTGTAAACAAATTTGTTAGTCACCTGTGTAAAACTATTTAAGAAAAAAAAATTATTCAGTGAGATGGGGTCATGACTTGAAAATTTTTTTTTTCAAGTTCAGGAAGTGAATGACCTTTTTTTTAGACTTTTTACTGTGACAGTTGAGGCTGGCTGCTTTATCCTCTTGAGTATCAAAGCCATGAATAAGTCCACAAAATGTTTTGGCATGAGCTCATTTAAGGCCTATGCTCCACGTGGAGATAAAAAAAAACAAATGAAGGTGAATTAATGTAAGTACATGCTTGTGTGTGAGGGTCTGTGGGTAGGGTAGGAAGGAGCCATTATATGTCTCACACTCACACACGCATGCACTGCTCGCATGAATACTGAAGAACTTATGGAGAAAGAACTAACACAAGAAAGGACAGTGTTACGAATACCAGCATTAATGAGAATGTTAGAATAAGAGTGTGTCTGAATTATATTGTCAGACAAAGAGTAAAATGGTGAAGTTGAGTTGATTCGAGTTATGAGTTAGATTATATTCACAGCACTCCGGACAGGCGCTCAGATTCCCCTCTCAACATATTCATCAGCGTCGTGCGGTTAATTGTACCAGTCCTATGTTGGTTAACAAGACTTCGTGTGCGTCCAGTGTGCTTCTCATGCTTGGCTGTGCCAATCTTTACTCCCAATTCGCATATTCGTAGAAGTGATGTGGACACGTTGCTTCCAAAATCCTCAGAACATCCTATCTCTCTAAGGGCAATGACAATGTCTGCGTGATCCATGGGCTGGCCATCTTCAATTAATGCAGTATCTGCCAGTCTATCAGCTCTCTCATTACCAACAACGCCTGCATGCCCTGGGATGAATATGAAAGTAACTGCACACACAGGAAAATTTTGCAATGACTCAAGCCACTGTCTGCGTAACAAGCCTGCCTCGACCCGCCGGATCATACTCAAAGAATCACTCAGCACACACACACGGGAATAGTGATTCGAGAATTGACATCACAGCACTTGGGGCATTCCCATGTTTGCTCCGTCCTCATCTTCAGCAGCCAGCTCAGAGTTGCAATACACATGGTACGAGTCATAATTTGGTTTTATGTCCATCTTGCCTTTTCTCTGAGTGTAGTAAGCCGGCCAGACCCTCTGGTTACACCCAGGGGCCTTATTCTCTCCAGGCCATAATAATCTTGTTTCACTTCTGACTCTGTTGCTTTTTCCCAAAGGGCCCTGACTATGTGAAATGGTTTGGACATCTAGTGAGTATGCAGCCATTAGATTTTGTTTACAACAGAACATCTAGGAGGAAGGCAAGAGGAAGACCAAGAAAGAGATGGATAAATTGTGTAACTGCAGCCTGCACAAATGTGAACAAATCCATCACCAAAAGTCCCCAAGAAGCGCAAGACAGATACAGAAAATTATGACACTGGACTGGGCTACAAGCTGGTGACAGTGATACAACACAAGAAGAAGAAAACCTAAAGACTTTTTCACAGATGAGAATCTGAAGAAGAACTGCATACTAAAGTTAAGAAGTCTTATGTTTGATTTCACAGATACTTTCAATGTGATCCGCGGACATACAGGGGTCCACAGACCTTCATATGAAAAACTCTACTCTTGTAGCACACAGTCCCTCAGCAAACAATGTAACATTGCATATTTACTTTATTTACAGGCATATATGATGATGACCCTGAAATTATAACTCTCAGCAGAGCAGATTTTGGTTAGTATCACTTTTTTCTTAAAATAAAATAAAAAAATTAAAACTGTTAGTTTAGTAAATACCATTGTTCGTGTTGCAAGGATGGCGTTAAAATCCAGACATTTCCATTAATTACTTACTTATTTACTTAAGTTACTCCTCTTCTACCTTGGGGTGTAGAGATTCATTCCCATTACAAATATACGTATGGAAATGCTACTACTGCCTTTATTTGTTTATCTAGAATGCCTTATTATCATCATCATCATCATCATCAATTCTTCTAGTCTAAGACAATTTCACAGCAGCTACTCAAGGTGGAAGTAACTACTAATAAAATTGTGAGTAAATTATGTTGATATAAGTTAATTATTTATTGACAATGACCAGATATTTGTTTAGCTTGCTGTGACAATATAGTAAGCACACGAACGCATGTTGTAGTGGTTGGAGTTCATGAGAACAGTTAAGAAGAGACCTTTGCACATTACATGTTGCTTGAAATCTGCAAAGATAAGAATACAAATTGATTTTCTTCCAAGTAAAATAAAGTTTGCTAACTCTGTTAAACCAATCTTGTCTTGCAGAACAGTCTGTCGAAGGCACCAGAGAGCCTTGGTTTATCAATTTCTATTCTACACACTGCTCACACTGCCATGATTTGGCACCCACGGTAAGCCGACTTATTTTTCATTAACTTGTCAGACATTTCTAGTGATTGTCATTCATTATTACTCATTGTCATTCTTTGTTAGCCATTGCCATTTACTCCACTCATCGATAAGAAATCATCATTCATTATCAGACATTGTGATTCATTGTCAGTCATTGCTAGCCATTGTCAGTCATTGCTAAACATTGCCATTCATTCATCTATAATACATCTTCACTTATATTAGTCATTGTCAGTCATTGCTAGATATTGTCAGTCATTGTCAGTCATTCATCATAATCAGTTCTTGTTATGCCTATTGGCACATGAGGCTTCAGAGAGGACTTTCCATGCTTTCCTGTTCTGTGCAATCTTTAATGCAGTTTTCCATGTCAAAGATGCCACACTCAGGTCACTTTCCATCGTTCGTCTCCATGTTGTTTTTGGGCGCCCCTTTTAACTCTTTCCCTCTGGTATCCATGTGAGAGCTGTTTTGGCAGGTATATCAGGATTCATTCTCATAACGTGGCCAAGCCATTTCCATCTTCTCTTGGTTATCATACTGTCTAAAGTTTCTTGGTTTGTGACTTGAAGTAGTTTTGTGTTTGAGATTGTATCTGGCCAGAAAATTTTGATAATTCTACGTAGACATGTGTGGTGGAAGGTGGACAGCCTCATTCTTCCAAAATCAGCTCTAGCTTTGTTCAGGTGTGACTGTATGTCTTCCTCTGTCCCTCCCAGTAGGGACACCACACTGCCAAGATATGTGAAATGTTCTACATTTTCATTGATTGGTTACTTATTGTCACTGGTTGTTGGTTTGGACTGTTTGTCATGATCTTAGTTTTCTTTGTATTTATTCTCAGTCCCACCATTTCTGCTGTGCTGTTTAGTCTGTTACTTTTCTCTTGTATGTGTTCATGTTTATGTGATAGGAGTGCTATATCATCTGCAAAATCAAGGTCCTCAAGCATGGGGAATGGAGTCCATCGTATGCCTTTCAATGTCTTGTCTACTGTGTTTTTTTTAGTATCCAATCAATCACAAGGTTGAAGAGGAGAGATGACATGACACATCCCTGTCTTACACCTGTCCTTACTGGGAAAGATGTATTGTAATTTTTATACTGCAGGAAAAGTCTTTATAGAAGAGAGCAATTATGTTGACTATTTTTTTTGTCCACAAAATTAATGCATTGCATTGTTCTAAAATGTTACATAGGGTGAAGATGTGCTCAGTTGTTCCTCTGCCCTTTCTGAATCCTGCTTGTTCCACACGTAGGCATTTATCTACTCATTTTTCAAGCCGCATTATGATGATTTTACAAAATATTTTGCTTGGTACTGAGGGTAGAGTAATTCCCCTCCAATTATTGCAGTCTGTTAAATCTCTTTTTTGGGGGATTTGGACTATTGTTCCTTTAGTCCAGTTATCAGGCAACACTTCTTTTTCCCAAATATCCTTGAATAATGGTTCTAGAATGTTAGCAGTTGTGTTGGGATCTACTTTGAGAAGTTCAGTCATTGCTAGACATTATAAGTCATTGCTAGACATTATCAGACATTGCTCATTGCTGGTGTCAATCATTGCTTGGCATCGTCAGTCATTGCTAGACATTGTCAGTCATTGCCCATTGCTGGTGTCAGTCCCACCCACCCACCCACCCCTCCCTGGCCAAACTCAAAACAAGTCGCGAAAAAAGTCACGAATCAAACGGCATACTTACCTATCATCATCCGGGTGCGTGTAGGGTTGCGTAGGGTGTCTATCATCGTCCTACGGTTGCGTGTAGGGCTGCTTATTGCGTGTAGGGTTGGTTGTTTGCGTAAGATAGATGAGGGGTAGGGTTAGGGGTTAGGGTTAGCGTTTAGGGTTAGAGTTTAGGGTTTAGGGTTTATGGTTAGGGTTAGGGTTAGGTGTAGCGTTAGATGTAGCGTTAGATGTGACAATTGTGACGCCGTAGTTCCCTACAATCGCGCACAGTCGCATGTACGCGCAAACAGTCGACGGACGGTGGATGCTACTGACACGGACAATTCGCCACCACCGATTGGGGCACCAGCCGCCGCACGCTATTGCCGTCATATTTAGCACACTTCCAGTGGCGCCACTCCCACAAGCATCAAATTGTCGGCCAGTATTTCCACCTCCTACGTGAATATTTTCACATCATCTAACCCTAACCCTACCCCTAACCCTACCCCCTACCCCTAACCCACACCCCTAACCCTACTGCTAACCCAAACCCTATGCAACCCTACACGCAACCGTATGATGATGATGATAGACACCCTACGCATCCCTACACGCAACCGTATGATGATAGACACCCTACGCAGCCCTACGCGCAACCGTATGATGATAGGTAACCCTAGACGCAACCCTACACGCACCCGGATGACGATAGGTAAGTATGTCATTTGATTCATGACTTTTTCCGCGACTTGTTTTGAGTTTGGCGAAGGGACGCGAAGGGACATAACTCCCACGAAGCCCTGCTAAGCCGGCCGAAGCAGTCCAGCTTACCGGCCAAATTTACCAGTAGAGCCAAGTTTTTAGTTAGTTAGTTGGGATATGATCATTGCACTGCGGACGTGTCCATAGGTGCTCAGATCCTTCCTTCAATTATAAACCCTAAAATCCTGTGACTAATAGTGCCAGCTCTTTGTTGATTGAAAAGTCTTTTTGTATGCCCGGTGTGTCTCTCGCTTTTAACTATGCCGATCTAAACTCCCAAGTCTTTCATTCTGGTGAGCGATGTGGAATCGCTGTCTCAAAAATCCTCCACCCTTCCTACTTCTCTGAGGGCATTAATAATATCAGCATGATCCATGGGTTGATCTTCAGCAGTGATAGCGAATCCAGCCAACTTATCCCCTTTTTGTTTCCATCGATGCCAGCGTGCACTGGAACAAAGGTAAAGATGGCGTTACGCACCATGGACTTCTGTAATGGCTCAATCCACTGCCTTCGCACAGCACATGCTTAGATCTTTAGGATCATGCTCATGGATCGCTAAGTACACAAACACGGGTATAGTCTTGTGTTCTTAGCCATACGAATGCCTACGTTACCGCCATCACCTCCATCGTCATGCTGCTTGTTGTCATGAAGAAGGCACCACTGGCTTCTTTGATTGTTTATAAGAGGTTATTGTTTTGAGGTAATGTGTGTTTGGAATAGAAGGGTTGATATAGAACTGTTGGACAGGAAGTGTTTAAACTAGGATTGAAGGAGATGAAGCAGGACATAGCAATCTAGCAATCATGGCTCTCAACATCCTGTAATCTCTAATCGTAAATTAATACTTGTGATAATTCAATTCCATGCCAATATGCCTAGACTGAAGGCATTCACGACTCTTCTCTCATTTTTCTATCTGACTGAGTATGTTAGTATACCTAATTTATTGTTTGCATTTGCTTTCTATGCTTTTGTTTTGTGTTTTATACTCTGTATCTATATTTTGTATATTGCTCTGAGACCTAACATGCTGAAAAAGGGGGAAAAAATGTACAATTGCTGTGTGAAAGATGAGTGTTTGGAAGAGCTGAATGTAAAATAGACCTGTGTGCCCAATTTTTGACCCTTTGAAAGTAAAGTTCATTTGTTAATTCGCTTTTTATGTTGATTCCTGTTTTATTGTTTGGTTTAGGATTTCTGTTGGACAAATATTTTGTTTCATCCATTTTTGTTATTTCGTTTCAGTGGCGAGAAGTTGCCAGAGAGCTCGAAGGAGTCATACGAATTGGAGCTGTTAACTGTGAAGATGACTGGCAGCTGTGTCGAATGCAAAATATTCACTCATACCCATCATTACTTTTTTACCCTCAGGTAGGTATCTCTTATATATTCTTCTTCTTCTTTTTTTTTTCTTGTGTCTATTACCCTAGAAATTTGGCTATGTATTAGAATGAGTAATAGACGAACAAATCAATATGAAAGTGCAGAAATATGGAGAATGGCTGTCTGAATGGTTAAGAGCACCGGGCTCTCAAACTGGGAGACTCAGATTTGAATCCTTGGTAAGGCTGGGGATTTTTGTCCTCTGTCAGAAGCAAATATAAAACCTAACCTGTACAGTCCGTGGTGACAGCACTAGCCATGCGGCGGTTCTACGTTCTCAGGCTCAAAGACTCCTATGCCTACACCACAAAAGTGGCCAGTACAGGCAGTAATGAAATGTTTATACAAGAATAATTGAAGTAAATACAAACCTTTTTTTTTCAAGTCTGGTAAAAGTATACGTCAGAATAAATAAGTAAAAACAAAAACAGTCCAGAAAAGTATTCATAAGTGAAGAAATAAACATTTAGAAAAAAACGTGTGTTTACTGCCTGTATTGAACACTTATTAAGGTGCTGCTTGGTAGGGGATTAATATGTGGACATTTAATTTTGACAGTTTCACATATATTGTTCATAACACATGAATCAATCCACCAGTCTAACAGTCTACCCAAGAGAGATATCATGCTGCATGGGCAAAACAGGATCTCTACAAATACCGCCCAGACTTTGTGCCATAGAGAGAATTTTATCTATGGCCTTAGTTGGCTTGTCACACTTGCCGCCTCCTTAGTCTGTGATTATATTTCTGACTATGGCACAGTGTCATCTGGAAATATAGACAAGGGCACCCTACATTTTTTCCTTATGTATTAACAGCACCATGTGTCTATGGTGGAGGCGGCCAGAAGAGCCAGAAGCAGAACCTTATATCCCACTTCAAACATCACTTTTAATGTCAATATAGTTTTGAAAACCACAAAATGAGCTCTTGCCTAACCTTAATTAAGAAATTTATAATTAAGAGTAGAATACTTCGTCAAACTTTCACAAATTCTAAGAGTTGAATGCATTTTTATTTGTAAATATAGAGAGAAAAATATCAAGGTGAGCGCAGTACTGAAGCTTTGGTGGAAAGGGCACTTCAAAATGTAAAGGCTGAATACCACAAAATAGGGTCTGATAACTTTGAATTTCTGATAAAAAGCTGTGAGAGTAGCCTTCCCTGGCTAATCACATTTTGCGGGGATGATGGAGGTAAGTCTAACGGTAGCATGTGGTTTTAACATTTTTAGAAATAAAACAGCAATGACAGGAGCGTTATAGCGGAGTGACTAGACATTTAACTGATGATCCTAATGTCTTCGGTTTAAATTCCTATTGAGACTAATTTTTTTTAAATAACTGACCTAGGACTCCCAGGTCGACCCAGTCTAAACTGGGGAGGCCAGGCATTGTCCTGGGAAGTAAAGGTGGCTGGCATGGTATCAACCACATCACATCGGATTGGTCAAATGTCTTGACAGTATAGTTCTAGCACTATATGCAAAGTGTGTCATAGATGTGAAAAGGGTCCTTTAATTTTAACTATTTGTTGTTGTTTTTTTTTGTTTTTTTTTTTTAAGACCTATCTACATCTTTCCATGGTCATCCTAGAAACAATTTCCTAACTGATGTGAGAAAGGGGATGGGAGAGGGTGGGTGGTGGTGGTAGGAGCCACCTGTCCAGTAGAGATAAGATTGACATTTATTTTGAAGTCATAGCGCATCTGCCTATGAAGTGAGGAACCAGCCACCTGCACCTAAACAAGCCAGATCTATAAAACTAGACCAAAGTCCAGAAGTGAATGACCAACCAGGACTTAGTTTACAGCCGGTGAACATGAAGAAGAAGAAAGAGAAGAAGAATAAGAAGCTGTATTGCCTGAGATGTGTAAGACACGTCTAGTAATCTGTGTGTTGGCATGGGCAGGATGTGTAGTTTGTAACATATTGCATAGAAAACTTAGCTGCAATATCAAACTAATAAATAACAAGCCTGCAAAGAATGAGTTTGTTGAGGCCCTGTCGTCCTTTGGAGGATAAAACTACAACGTTAAATAGACATTATTAGATTATGACCATATCTGAATTATTATGACAGACAATCAAATGGTTTGGCCTTCTAGTGAGAATGCAACTAGGCCAAATTGCATGTGAGATATTTTTTTCAGTAGAACATTTGGAAAAAAGTGAGGGAAAAGTCAAGAAAGAAATGGATGAATGATGTAGCTGAAAACTTTTTCAGCATTCTGAGTTCTTGAGGTTCATTGCTGCAGATAGCACCTGTCTCCTTTCATTTCTCTGGTTGGCCTTCTCCTTCCATGTGGCGACACCAAGTGTTTGTAGGTCGTATCTCTTCATCGTCTTCAGTATATTAACCCGCATGAAGCCAGGATTAATGGTGATTTAAACAGACTATGAATTTTGTTGTTGAATGTAGCTGAAAACTGCAAAAGAAGATAGAACAAATCCATCACATAAGTGATTCCAGAAGCGCAAGACACATACAGAAAATCCCAACACTGTGGTATCAGCAGGAGACTAAAGAAGAAGTTGGATTATGTAGAATGTGAACTTTCCTCATCAAAACCTAAGGTACAGGATAATTATCAATTACAGGAGGACATGATTCATAAGGTTTATCCTTCAGATCCTCGCTGGTCCAACAGGATTCAGCAGTGCCACCACCAGGTGTTGAACTCACACATACCCTGTTGGCAGATAAGGATTTTCACTGCTACACCAGCATGATTCCCTTAAAGTAGTTTCTAATTTGTTTTCAAAATTTCGTCTGATAGACTGCCTGGAGAAGAAAACATGCATTAAACTTGCAGCCATGTTGGTGAGTAGTAACTACACTATGTTATTTATTACTTTTCTTCCTCCATTTTATTTTCCACTTCCTCATTCTCCCCCTACTTGTCCTCATCATTTTCTTTCTTCTCCTTCTCCTAAACTTCTTATCCTGCTGCTTGTTATTCTCCTCCTACTCATCATACCTTCCTCCTCTTTCTAGTCCTATAACCTTCCTCTTCTGCACCCTCCTTCTGTAGCACCTACTCTTCCTTCTCCTTTTCTGTCCACTCCTTCTCTTCCTCTTATTCCTCCATTTACTCTTTCTCTATAGTTTTGTTGCTTTCAGCATCCCTCAAGGCAATGTTCCTGTTAAATGCAATGCTGTTGTTAAATGTGTTCTTCATTAATGGAGGTATATATAGCTCCAGGTATTCCAACAATCCATTATTTGTAGTGAGAAATTCTGGCTCCGTTTCTAATGTGGTTAATTGCTAGAGCAGTTCATAAGACACTGTCTGATGAAAATCTTTGTACATGACCAAACCATTTGTAATGTTATCTGACCAAAGAATTCACAGTTTTCCTTGTGTCTTCTTCTGTGTTCGCTGTTAAAAAGGCAGATGACCATATTTTAAATTAATCAGGTCAGCTGTGCATTGACTTTGACAGTGGTGTAGAGAGTTCAGAAAGCAGTGGCAAATTACCAAACATAAAATTGTCTAGTAAAGTTACAGACGGTCACACAATCCTGGGATATTTTTGTGTATCATCCAGTGAAAGATGTACAGTCTATCAGTTACATCTTTCTAACATCTCTGTTTCAGGCCGGTTTGGTGAATGTTGGCAGGGTCAACTGCCATCAAGAGGGAAAGCTGTGTTCAAAACTGGACCAAGGCCATGGGACATTCTTCTATCCAGATAGCAGTATTAACACAAACAGTCGATTGGTATGTGTCACAGTGATGTGTTTTGTCCAGTTTTTTATACACACGATAGAGTGTCATAACTGGACCACGAGGGGGAAGATTGATCCCATTAATCTTCTTGTGCTTGTTATCCGCCAGTAAAACTGAGTCCTCAGCCAACTTGTACTAGGTTGACCAGACTAAGTGAGACACAGTCTTGCCAGCTGTACAAGCAGTGACAATAATCAAGGTGCGACAATAACTATGAACATACTATTGAAAAAAAAATGAGGTAATGATTATGCAGTAATTAAGTTCATGTTTCCACAATGTGAAGTTGTACAAACAGTTTGTACATAGACATCGTATTGCACAAATTATTGCTGTTATGTTATGACAGTCGATGTCACTGCACATTGGGCATTTTCAGGCGTGTTTAATCCTGCATTGCAGCAACAACCCCAAGTTACCTCTACTGATTTATGCACAAAATCTTTTTCATCTAGACTTGTACAGTCAGAAAGACATGGCTCTGAACTTATGTTTAGTCCTTTTAAAACAGTTAGTTACTTTTCAGTTACTTTAATGTGCTTGAATTTATATTTTAATTGAAAAAATTCCTTTATGTGCTTAATTTCTTTCAGTTTTTACTTTAGTTAGGTTAGTTGCAGAACCAACCCAGGACGTTGCAGAACCAACTCGAACAGCTCCTGGCTGTTGTGTGGTTTTCTAGGCATATTCACGTCCAGTAGTTTGCCATTGCTTTCTTGACGGTCGGCTTTCTTGATACCACTGTCGAAACCAGGCGCATGGCCGGCAGCCCAGATCGAACCCGGCATCCCGGCATTACGAAATGTCCGCATCGACTTAGCCACAGAGCCGACTTTTACTTTAGTATGCACCTGATAAGATACAGTGACAAAAATTGTTCCATCTGCTCTTTGCCTTTGCTTCCTCTTTATTCAGATCAAATAATGGTTGCGTCACTTTTACAACAGGAACTCACAAGCCTGTATGCTCGAGACATTGCTACTGCAGTTCTAGAACAGCTTCCAGATGTTGAGATAATCAGACAGGAAACATTGCAGGTAACACTTGTAGTGTTCTTCTTGCCAAGCACATTCTTCTTCTTTTTATGACAATCCACCAGATGTTGATCTTCCGTTCTTCAAACCAGTGCCTGGCAATTATGTTTGGATACTACAGTGTGTTAAATGGTGATCTTTCATTCTTTAGACTATTGTTTGGTAGTTATGTTTGGATACTACAGTGTGTTAAATGGTGATCTTCCATTCTTTAGACTATTGTTTGGTAGTTATGTTTGGATACTACAGTGTGTCAAATGGTGATCTTCCATTATTTAGACTATTGTTTGGTAGTTATGTTTGGTTACTACAGTGTGTTAAATGGTGATCTTTCATTCTTTAGACTATTGTTTGGTAGTTATGTTTGGATACTACAGTGTGTTAAATGGTGATCTTTCATTCTTTAGACTATTGTTTGGTAGTTATGTTTGGATACTACAGTGTGTTAAATGGTGATTTTTCATTCTTTAGACTATTGTTTGGTAGTTATGTTTGGATACATTCAGTACTGCTTTAAGGTTAAGTTTCTTCTTCTCGTACCCTTTATGCTTCATTAAAGGCTAGGTGCTAAAATCCTCTTGTCTTTTGTCACCTCCTGCAGGTATCTTGTGTAAAGTTAGTTGTAAATCTTTTACTGAACATCAAAGGCCAACCCCAGCATTTGTTGGCTGTTTGTTACCAAGCAATTTAACCAGCTGAACACACATGCCATGACCGTAGCAATCTGATTTTCCTAAGCAATTAAGTCAGCTGAACACACATGTCATGATTGTAACTGTGATTTTGCTAGGCAATTTGACCAGCTGAACACACATTTCATGATTGTAACCATGTTATTTTACTAGGCAGTTTGACTCAACTGAACGCACATATTATGATTGTAACTGATTTTACTAGGCAATTTAACCAGCTGAACACACATTTCATGATTGTAACCGTGATATTTTACTAGGCAATTTGACCAGCTGAAAAAACATGTCATAATTATAACCGTGTCATTTTTCTAGGCAATTTACCCAGATGACCACACATTTCATAATTGTAACCATGTGATTTTATTAGACAATTTGACCAACTGATTACACATGCATGATTTTAACTGTAATTTTCCTGGGCAATTTGACCAGATGAACACAATATCACGATTGTAACTGATTATACTAGGCAATTTGACAAGCCAAACTCACATGTCATGGTTGTACTGTGTGATTAAACTAGGCAATTTTACCAGCTGAACATGTCATGATTGTAACTGTATGATAAAACTAGGCAATTTGACCAGTTGAACACACATTTCATGATTGTAACCATGTGATTTTACACACATTTAATGATTGTAACTGATTTTACTAGGCAATTTAAGCAGGTGAACACATATTTAATCATTGTAACCGTGTGGCTTTACTAGACAATTTAACCATCTGAACACAGTCAGGAATGTAATTGTATGATTTTACTAGGCAATTTGACTAGGTGAACACACATATCATTATTATAACTGTGATTATACTAGGCAATTTGACCAGCTGAGCACACATGTCGTGATTGTAACTCTGTGATTTTACTAGGCAATTTAACCAACTGCACACATGTGTCGTAATTGTAACAATGCAATTTTACTAGGCAATTAAACCGGCTGATTTCTAAAAGTTCATTTAGCAGGAACAACTTTAATTTGTAGCTATGTATCGTATTAGCCTGGATCTGTGAAAGAGATGCATGTTGTAACAATTGACTGAGTAATGTTGGCAAGACACTGGCTATCTCATCCGATTGTAAACTTTAACTGGAAAGTTCAACTAACCATACAAATATCTACTGAGTGCTTAACTGTGGGTGTTTGAGAGCTTGTGATCTGTTCTACTTCTTTTCGTTCTTCCTGCGACACATGTCTTCCACACAGCATAGCTTCCATTGGAATGCCAAGCAGCCAAACCTGGGTCCCCTCCTCTGCATGAAGAGAACATATATGTAGCACATGTTCAATATTGTTTGGTGCCTGCCCATTTGTTTCTCATTTAAGTGCCTGTTTAGTGATTCTCTGTTCACTTCTGCTCAGGACGTGTCCAGTATATCGCCATCTTCTTGGCTTATAACCATCTGTTGTCCAGACATATATCTTATTTCTTCACCGTTCTTGAATGTTCATCAGTGTCCTTAGGGAATCGAATTAGTCTGTGAAAATGTGAGTATACAGAAGAATAGATCGTATTTCATGGAAACAAAAACAGTCTCATGCAGAAGTTCTGAGAAGACTACAAATAAAAAGAGAGTTGCTTAAAGAAATAAAGAAGTGACAACTGGAATACTTTGGCCACATTAAAAGACAAAGCACGCTTTTGAAGACCATTCTGAAGGAAAAGGTCGAAGGCAGGAGAGCAAGAGGTGGGCAATGATACAAGTGGGAGGACAATATCAAGAGATGGACAGCAGCAGTCTGAGAGGGTGTACAGCCAGGACAAGAGACAGAGCGTGTTGGAGATCCATTACAGCCAGTCTTAACTGTGGAGATGGCACCTGATTGATTGATTGATGTCCTTAGGCATTTGTGGTCTTTAGTGGTTTTGGAATTGATAATGGGTAACTTGGTTTTAAAACTATATTTAAGGGTTCCATATGTTATTCAGGTTTTTAAAACTGCTGTTACCTTGTCCATGTGTATTATCATCATCATCATCATAAACCACTTCTGCCTTTAATCGCCGTATGGAGGAATAATTTGCGATCCAGTGCACGCTGGCTGCCACTGGCTAATGTCATGCCGTGAAGGCGTAGAGTGTCTTTAATGTTGTCAATCCATTTTTTCTGCGGCTGTCCTCATGCTCCTATAGCTGATCCTTTGAGGTAGTGCTTGTGATGGTATTTGATCTTGCTGCGTTCTAACGAAATGGCCAAACCACTGGATCTGCTATTTATCGATGAATCTAGTTCAAGGTGTCGTTCCAACAATTTGTCTGATTGTGTTATTAATCGCTCAATCTCGAATGGTTAGGTTGGCTGCTTTTCTCAGGCATCTCATTTCACATGTGGTGAATTTGCGGATATGAGCTTTAGATAGTGTCCATGTTTGGCACTGGTGTGTATAATAATTTGTATCATGTTTTGCTGTGTGTTTCCTTTGCAATCAAAATTTAAGAAGAAGTTAATATTCTATGGGCACTTTTGATAGAAAGAAGTTTACATGATATATACATCCGCATTGACAGAATATTCATGACAAGAATCGAGAAACAACTTGGCTGATCCATTTTGTGAACCAGAATGGAAAACAGGATTTGGAATTGAGAAAGTTGCCAGCTTTACTGAAGCAGTATAGGGTAAGTCAGTGTCAGGCTAATGTATTTTTATCTCCGAGTGTTGAATGTTGAATTAAGAATCGACATCACAGCACTCGGGACACCTCCATAAGCGCTTCGTCCCCTTCTTCAGTTGCAGGTGAAGAGTTAAAATTCCATTGGTACCAGTAACTGTCTGATTGTATATCCGTCTCGCCTTTCCCCTGAGTGTCGAGCGTCAGCTAGATCCCCTTGAAACTCCTCACAGTGCCGTTTTCCTTTTGTCCATTTTTTGGGTCTCCCAATGGAGCATAGGCCATCAACAGTGTTATGTACAACTTTCTTTATCTTTTTCTGTCATACTCATTATCTTCTTCCTCTTCATAATCTTCTGCTTCTTCTTTCTCCTTCTCCTTTTTTATCTCTGCCTGCTCCCCCCCCCTTCCCCCAGTTCTATCTCTTCCTCTTTTTTTTATTTGCCTGGTCTGCTTAAAACAGTGAAATCATGGCCCTCTACTCCATGATATTGAGATTTGAACCCCTCTTTCTGTTGCTGTCTATTAATTTTCTCTCATTTTCTATTTATTGCTCTAATTTTCTTTTTATCTTAAAAAGAAAAATTGCTTTTCAGTACACTTGACATTTTAATTAATTACTAAACTAAAAATTTTGAATTTTAATGTCAAATGAGTACTTTTGTATGGGGCGGAAACATGGAAAACAACTAAGGCAATTACTAATAAATTACAGACATTCATTAACTGATGCCTGCGCAGAATAGAGGGAATTAAATGGTATTATAGAATAACCAATGTAGAGCTTTGGGAGAGAACTAAACAGGCTCCAGTGAACCAAGAGGTGAGGAAAAGACGCTAGCGTTGGATAGGACACACACTGAGAAAACAGGAGAACAGCATAACTAGAATGTCTTTGCATTGGAACCCACAGGGGCATAGGAATAAAGGAAGGCCAAAAAAACACATGGAGAAGAGAGCTGGAGAAGTTAGAAAGATAGGGAGGACATAGGGAGATCTCCATGTAATGGCGAAGGATAGAATGACTTAATGTGAGTTGGTTGAAGAAAGAAAGACATGTTTTGATGTAACTTTTGTAATTGAGGACATAGTGTTAGGTAAGAGAGGCAGTAGCTGACCATCTTGAATGTGGATAGTGTCATGAAGATGTATTAAAAGATATGCACTCATGAAGAAAACTAATTGCCCACATCCGTATGAGTAATGAACCCCTTTCACACCACTGGCGCAGCTGTCATCGCTTGTTTGACCCATATTTTTATAGGCCAAACATAGCTGAATATGTGGCATGGATAGGATATGTTGTAATAGGGAGCCACCATTGTGTAGTAGCAAGATGCTCGCCTGAGAATTTGAAGGTCATGGGTTCAGGCCCCGATGGAGCCAATTTTGTTTCTTTCAGAAATGACCTTTGGGTACCAGCTAAAGTCCTGAAAGTAAAGGCAGCTGGGGTGATGTTGACTGCATCACTCACTGAGTGCTGATGGGTCAATAGAATCTTGGTCTAGCCCTCTATGCCCACTATGCCTGAAGGTGTGGAAATAGGTCCTTGACTTACTTTACTATAAGTTATAATAAGATCATGTCTGGATGTATCTGCAGGTGGGCAGGGCTGACTGCTCAGAGATGCAGCAGCTATGCCAGAAGCTGCATGTGAACAAGTTCCCATCTTTTATCCTGTATAAAGCCAGGGGTGGAGTAGAGGTTTATTATGGGGGTAAGTTGTCTGTGTTATTATTTGTAGGTTTTACAATCATCATCATCTTCCTTGTAGGTTTCAGAGCTCTATTCTGAAGAACAAATAAATCCACCCCCTTCACTTGGATATCAATGTTCAGATTACAAGTACAGGCAGCAAAATGCACCTTTCTGTGGCTAAAGCTCTGAAATTGTTTCAGTCAAATTCTTTAAATTTTTTTAAGCTCTGATAATGCAAATTGTTTTAGATGGTAAATTCTTACCATCGGCAACTGATCAGTCAACTGTTTGAAAATCTATAGTTCTGAACAACCAGAACTGTCTGCAAGAGTTTAACAGTCAGTGAATTCTAAGATCTCAGGCAGCATGGTACTTCTGATAGATCTTAGCATTCACCTGCTGTAACTTGACTGACTGAACAGGCCTTAAGCATGCAGGCATTGTCTGATCATCAAAGGTGGAGGGAGCTGGTCAGACAGTCAACAGCAACTGGTGTGTGACGACATGCACTGTTATGGGATGATGTTGGTGATGATGATAGTGATGAATGCTGAGAAGAAGAAGAAGAAGAAGATAAGAAGATTTAATGTGCACCCCTATCCTGTTATGATGTCTTGGACAATTATTTCTTGTCATTGTCACAGGTCGTGTAACAGCACATGATATCGCAGCCTTTGTCCACGACAGTGCAGACAACCCACTAGAGAACCTGGGCCCAGCTGATTTCCCCGACCGAGTGGTTCACAGTAAAGATCCTTGGTTCGTTGACTTCTTTGCTCCTGTAAGCAAGTATTTTAATTAAAGTATCTCTTTTTATTTTTAATGTTCACCGGATTTTGTAGACTTCAGTTAAAAAATTCTGGCTGCTTATCCACTGCTGGACTCAAGTTTTGTTCTAGAACATGAATTTGTGTGCACATTTGTTTTGGAGAAATGTTTGTTCTGATTGTTGGTTCTCCGTCTCTCAAACAGCTGCACTGTCACTTCAGAGGAGAAAATCTCTAATAAGTCACCTACGGGGGTCGGGTGCATGCATGTAGGTGTGCGCGCATGCATACAGATCTGTGTGCGCATGCATACAGCTGTATGTGCATATGTGCACATGTGGGTGTATGGCTGCATGCATGTGAGCAGCCGGGTGTGTTTATGGAGATAGGTTAGGAAAGGAGGAGGTAGAAAAAAATTAATGACCCTGCACCTGAAGAAAAAGAAGAGGAAGGATAAAAAAGAACTATTCTTGTGGCCTTCAGTAATGCTTTTATTAGACCTTTGTTTGCATTTATGCATCACTTATTTTCATTCATGCTTCATTGTTCCTCATGCTTCATTTGTTTTTGCTTACAGTGGTGCCCACCTTGCATGCGTCTGCTCCCGGAGTTTAAAAAGGCTTCAAAATTTTATGGTTCGAAGGTCAATTTTGGTACAGTCGACTGCACAGTGCATGGAAATCTATGTAATCTGGTAAGTTTTTGTTATGTGTATATTAATCTTTTGTGTGTGTGTGTGTGTGTGCATGCGTGTGTGTGTGCGTGTGCGTGTAGGGTACTAGTCACTGGTAGCTTTCGTATGTTACAGTTTCTGTATGTCACTGTTCAAGATGTAAACCAATTGATGTGTTTGTAATAAACAGTAACAACAAATAGTAAAATGAATTTTCTGTGGCAGTGGAAAATGCAGGCACTGATTCAAGCCATTACTTGCACGCCTGGTCACTGTCTTTTTGTTCAACACCAAGAAGGCTCACCCGGTCATCAGAGGCCTGCAGAAGTCAAAACTGTCAGCCGACAGGCACAAATATATCGCAACCATGCTGTAAACGGGTTCAGTGTAAATGGGGGATGGTGACTTAGAAACAAAGTCCTTTCCTTTGTACCACATTCCTTTTATAATATATTTAGCTATTTTGTGAGTGTTTTTGTTACACTTTTTAGGACGGGAGTGAGGCATAGTCCCACTAGCCCTAATAAGTATAACGTAAAAGGCATCTTATAAAAGGTTTGCTAAAATTAGATGTGTTGGTTCAGCAATTAATTCAAGAAAATGCTTGTTCAGAGGATGTGATTATTTATGCAGATGGTTCAGTGTCAGGAAACAAAAGAAGTTTTCAGGGGTTCTTAGCACAAGCCAGTGGTCGACGTTTGGTGCAGGAGAGCCTAGCGTATGATACCACAACATCCAGCCTAAGAATGGAGGTGAAGGCCGTCACTGCAGCTTTCCGCTGGCTGGAGGACACGACACACACACAAATCATGATTGTAACTGACTCAGAAAGCATGTGGAGAAAGGTGAGGAAAGACATTCTTTGTGCAGAGTAACATGCTTCACTTCGGATGTCACAAGTGAGGAGCATTGTCTGGATTTTTTTGGGGTATGCTGTAGTGCTAGGAAACGAACATAAAAGGCTGACAGAGTGGCTGGCACTGCACAACTTGGTGGAATGCTCATACATGGCAGATGAGGTTAAGGCCATGTGGGAGAGCATGTACAAGTCGGAGGAGCAAATGGATCACCATAGTCTGGTGGGAATGATGCAGCGGGGGGAGAGGGGGGACATGGTCGATACTGGAGGATCAGAGAAAACGCAAGACGACCATATAATCAGAATACTGTTGGCAAAATTTGTATTGGAACTCTGCGCTAACTGCTAAAGATGGGCACGAAGCGCTTATGGGAATGCTCTGAGTGCTGGGATATTGGTTCTTGAATCAACTCAACTCTGATGTGTTGGGTTGAAAGGCCCAAATATTATTTCTTCTTCTGCCTTTCTAACCCCCAGTGGAGCCTAGGCCTTCAACCAACTTATGTCGTCATTCTATCCTTGACTATCACATGCAGCTCTCCCCATGTCCTCCCTCATCTTTTTAACTTCACTCTCTAGTTCCCTTCTGTATGTGTTATTTCGTCTTCCTTTATTTCTATGCCCCTGTGGGTTCCAGTGCAAAGAAATTCTAGTTATACTGTTCTCAGGCTTTCTCTATTCTGAGCAGGCACCAGTTAATGTTTAATTAAAATTAAAATTTTTTAGTTTATTAAGTTTTAATTTCTTTTGACCTCCAAATGTGATAGCCTAGCTGTAAACGGCAATACAATGTGCCAGCTGTCACTTAAAAGAAAATGCAAAAAAAAAAAAAAATAACAAGAATGCTCAGGTAGTTGTTTGGTTAATGCACACAACTTTAGTTTTGAAGCACACACATAAAGGCTATATCTTGTATTTATGGTAAGGATAAAGGTTGAGTTGAGGATTTTGGTTGGGCATGTAGTCCTTGCTTTGTAATGCCGGGGTGCTGGGTTCGTTCCCAGCTGCGGGCCTTGCGCTTTGCATTGGTTTCGACAGTGGTATCAAGCCGACCGTCCAGAAAGCAATGGCAAACTACTGGACGTAAACTTGCCTAGGAAAACCACCGCAGCTAAAAATGCTGGGGTTGGTTCTGCAACGTCCTGTATAGGATACGCAACTAATTTTTGCCGAGGCCCAGCGGCTAGACGCTCGCCGTGGATCGGAAGGTCGTGGGCTCGCTCGCTGGTGGAGCCGGACTTTTAAAGAAAAAATGACCTTGACTCCCAGGTCGACCCAACCTTGAGTGTGTACCGTGTGCAGTCCCGGGAAGTAAAGGCAGCTGGCATGATGCTGACCACATCACCCATCTTGTGCCGATTGGTCTATAAGAAAAAATAGGTCCAGCCCTATTTGCCCTATACGCCTAAAGGCGTGGAAAAGGTCTTTTACTTTTACTATGTAGTCCTTATATTACCTTGTGTCACAGGGCCACTGTGGTGGACATAAAGCAATGGCCATCCTGGCTCACTCTGTAATGTCCTGGCCAGTGAAGCTCGGGAGAAGTTGCTACAGGCCTAGCAAGCTGTCAGTAGACTTAATAATGCTTCAAAGAATACAGTAAGTAACAAACAACAAGATGGATAGATAACATCAGAGAAACTCTACAATGCAATGTGTCTAGAGACAAAGCGGCCAGATGGACAAGAACTGAAACCTTTTATCTTCCTTGAAACCTGAAGTGGTAAAAGAGAAAGATAGGAAGATTTAGTAGCTAGAGATACAGCGATTGCAATCTATGTGTCTTCTGTGGTAGTTTACCAGCCATAGTGTGTCTGTATACCAAAGTGGATTAACAGTTTGCCCAAATTTACTGCAGTGTGTGGGATTGTTTTCTACAGTACATTGAGTTTGCAAATGCAGATGTTTCAGTGATTCCTTGGGGTTGTTACTGGGGCTGCAGAGTTCATGCTTTATGCTGTGTGCTTTGTTGGCCATGAGCTGCTCTGCCGTGAAACAAAACCTGATGAGATAGAAAAACCTGGTGGAGTGAAGTTGAAACTCTGAGCCATAAACATCCCTTATGTTGAATTGTAATCTTCTTATTTGTTTCAGTATAACATACATTCCTACCCTACAACAATCTTCTACAACCAGAGCATACCATATCAGTACCATGGGCAGCATCGCATGCAAGATATGCTGGATTTCATCACTGTAAGTCATGCCATGTCTGGGTATTCTGTGTTTAACACTGTGTTTCTTCTTCTTATAGTCCATGCCATGTCCGGGTATTCTGTGTTTAACACTGTGTTTCTTCTTCTTATAGTCCATGCCATGTCTGGGTATTCTGTGTTAACACTGTTTCTTCTTTTTTTAGTCCATGCCATATCTGGGTATTCTGTGTTTAACACTGTTTCTTTTTCTTATAGTCCATGCCATGTCTGGGTATTCTGTGTTTAACACTGTGTTTCTTCTTCTTATAGTCCCTGCCATGTCTGGGTATTCTGTGTTTAACACTGTGTTTCTTCTTCTTATAGTCCATGTCATGTCTGGGTATTCTGTGTTTAACACTGTGTTTCTTCTTCTTATGGTCCCTGCCATGTCTGGGTATTCTGTGTTTAACACTGTGTTTCTTCTTCTTATGGTCCCTGCCATGTCTGGGTATTCTGTGTTTAACACTGTGTTTCTTCTTCCTATAGTCCATGTCATGTCTGGGTATTCTGTGTTTAACACTGTGTTTCTTCTTCTTATAGTCCATGTCATGTCTGGGTATTCTGTGTTTAACACTGTGTTTCTTCTTCTTATAGTCCATGTCATGTCTGGGTATTCTGTGTTTAACACTGTGTTTCTGTTTCTTATAGTCCATGTCATGTCTGGGTATTCTGTGTTTAACACTGTGTTTCTTCTTCTTATAGTCCATGTCATGTCTGGGTATTCTGTGTTTAACACTGTGTTTCTTCTTCTTATGGTCCATGCCATGTCTAGGTATTCTGTGTTTAACACTGTGTTTCTTCTTCTTATAGTCCATGTCATGTCTGGGTATTCTGTGTTTAACACTGTGTTTCTTCTTCTTATAGTCCATGTCATGTCTGGGTATTCTGTGTTTAACACTGTGTTTCTTCTTCTTATGGTCCCTGCCATGTCTGGGTATTCTGTGTTTAACACTGTGTTTCTTCTTCTTATGGTCCCTGCCATGTCTGGGTATTCTGTGTTTAACACTGTGTTTCTTCTTCTTATGGTCCCTGCCATGTCTGGGTATTCTGTGTTTAACACTGTGTTTCTTCTTCTTATGGTCCCTGCCATGTCTGGGTATTCTGTGTTTAACACTGTGTTTCTTCTTTTTATAGTCCCTGCCATGTCTGGGTATTCTGTGTTTAACACTGTGTTTCTTCTTCTTATGGTCCCTGCCATGTCTGGGTATTCTGTGTTTAACACTGTTTCTTCTTTTTATAGTCCCTGCCATGTCTGGGTATTCTGTGTTTAACACTGTTTCTTCTTTTTATAGTCCCTGCCATGTCTGGGTATTCTGTGTTTAACACTGTGTTTCTTCTTCTTATGGTCCCTGCCATGTCTGGGTATTCTGTGTTTAACACTGTGTTTCTTCTTTTTATAGTCCCTGCCATGTCTGGGTATTCTGTGTTTAACACTGTGTTTCTTCTTCTTATGGTCCATGCCATGTCTGGGTATTCTGTGTTTAACACTGTGTTTCTTCTTTTTTATGCCGTGTCTGGGTATGTTTAACATGTCTGGGTATTCTGTGTTTAACACTGTGTTTCTTCTTTTTATTCCTGCCATATTATGTGTTTAACACTGTGTTTCTTCTTTTTATAGTCCCTACCATGTCTGGGTATTCTGTGTTTAACACTGTGTTTCTTCTTTTTATAGTCCCTGCCATGTCTGGGTATTCTGTGTTTAATACTGTGTTTCTTCTTTTTATAGTCCATGCCATGTCTGGGTATTCTGTGTTTAACACTGTGTTTCTTCTTTTTATGGTCCATGCCGTGGGGGCATTGGTAGTCATATCTGTTCACAACCTTGTGTCTTGTATATTTTCTATCATTTTGGTGCAGATGATCTTCCTTGCCATGATGTCAGAATGTCAATCATCTCTCTCTCTCTCTATCTCTCTCTCTATCTCTCTCTCTCTCTCTCTCCCCCCCTCTCTCTCTCCTCCCTCCCTTCTCTCTCTCTCTCTCTCTCTCTCTCTCCTTGTGCCTTGTTTGTCCCCTCCAACTTTGCCACCACCGTTATGATATACTTCAATTTTCTCATTCTGTCACTTTCTTTCAAGAAATCTTCATTGCTTTTTTTAAATCTGTCTTGGGTATTCTCCTCAGTCATCTTTAAAACTTTTTTTTCTCCCACTTTCACATATTCTTTCAGTCATCAAATAAAAGTGTATCTCTCCCACTTTTTTTTTTTTGGACCTGTTATTAGAAGGATTAGACTCAATATCTTGATTACAACTGGCAGGATTGATGGAAAATATAGCAAGGGGAAGACAAAGAGATGGATGCCTGGAGGGCTTGCTTGGCCACATGGAGAGGGGTGAGACAAAGCACAGGCCTGATAACCTGATTCTGGTGATTGTGAGGGATCTTGGATCATGGCTTATCGGTATGGCAAACAATGATAATACCTGTTTGATCAGCATCTGTGGCTTAGGGATTGCACAGTTTCACTCTTTGCAGTATCATTCTCTTCAGACCGTAGTGATCCATCTGCAGATGTATCATCATGGTCTGAAGAAAACAGTACTGCGAGGAGCGACTAGGGGATCTGGTCGACGATCAGCACTCAAGGAAAAGGTGAGAGATGGATGTACATTCAGACTGCTATTGGTATCAGTGGAACTGGAACTCTGCGTTTGCTGCTGAAGATGGGGGCGGAGTGCTTATGAGAATGTCCTGAGTACTGTGATGTCAAATCCTAATTAAACATTAAATGGACAGTTTTACAATCCTGGATGCTTGGATTAAAAGTCAACTGCAGGGGATTTGGCAGACCGCTTTGCATGCATTTCTACAGTGTTTAAAGATTCTTACTTTGAGAAAACAATGGCAAACTCCAGAACAGGAAATTGTCTAGTAAAAATTCATTAGCTATTAGATGCTGTGGTTGATTTGTGAATTTCTATAAAATATAAGGGCTGAACTTGTTTATACTGTTTTGAAGACAACAGAGAAGAGTTGGTTACAGGACAAAGTAGGGGATTGCTAGGATTGGGTAAGTCTGGTGTGGCCTCGTGCCACGGGACTGCTACTGTAGCTATGAAGGCCATCCTGGGTCAGCCTGAAACGTCCTGGCCAACGGGGCTGTGGTGAAGTTGCATCAGGCCTAGCAAGCCGGCAGTGGATTTAATACCACTACAACAAGTACAATGAGATATAAACGGACTGAATTACAAAGACAGAAAATCAAATTGTTTGCCCACTTGTACCTCCTGATGCTATACCATACAAGGCATTTACCAAAAGAGGAGAGGAACGTAGAGCAAGAGGTAGACTAAGAACAAGATGGGAAGATTACATGAGAGAAACTCTACAGTACCACGATGTGTCTATGGTCGAAGCAGCCAGAAGAGCAGGACCTTGTATCTCCCTCGACACCCGAAGCGGTAAAAAAAAAAGACGTAAAGAAGAAAAAGAAGAGTTACAATTCTGATGGTAGCAATAGCAGTCTGTTTACATGTCCATCTTGACTGTCCTCTGAGTGTAGTGGCAGCTGGTTTCATCTTGACCAAATGACCCATCGAGTGCCAGCTGGCCTTTTAAAAAAAAAAAAATCAATCTGGGTCCAGCACCATATGCCCACTCCACCAGTCATGAACCAGGTCCTGTTTTACTTTCTCTGTGTTCACCCCCTAAAAAAAGGGTCATTGACATCTTGTGTTGTAGTTTACAGCTAGGCTGTGATATCTGGGCTCTGCTGCCCAGAACATTCAGTTTCAGCATACCCTTACTCTTAATCACTTTTAGGACATGCTTGTTACTGGGGTGGCTATTTTTCATCCCTTTCCCTAACACAGTGGGGACCCGAAACTGACAACAGATTTTTTTTTTTTTTTAACTTTTATGTTTAATCATTGGAAAAATAGAGAGAAAAAGGAGAAGAAAATGTTACAAAACCTGTAATGATAAATTTTCTGATGCTTATACATTTTTGAATTACTTAGTTTGTACACATTTCTAATAAATGACGCTTTCTGTCTGTGTGTTTCCAAACTGCTAGGACACACTCAACCCCCGTGTCATCTCACTAGATCAGGCAAGCTTCCAAGAACAAGTGTATAACAAGGGCACGGATGATATTTGGTTGGTGGATTTCTTTGCTCCCTGGTGTGGTCCCTGTCAGCAGCTGTCCCCGGAGTGGAGAAAAGTGGCTAAGGTAGATCGCGTGTGGATATATGGTGATGTTGAATGATTGTTTAGCAGAGATGTTGTATGTCATCTATTGTTGGTGGTACACAATTACCGGCACTTTGTTTGGTGGTATCATTTTTATTTTGCAGTGCTAATATAGACACTTTGTAGTGAGTACCATCCCATTTTTCCCTGTGTATGTTTAGCTCCCTCAGCCTGGTATACAGAGATGATGTATGCATGTTTAGCTCCCTAAACCAACTATAGAGACATGTTTTATGCCTTTTTAGCTCCTGCAACCAGGTATACCCTGATGTTGAATGTTTAGCTCTTTCAGCCAGGTAGGTTTCTTGTGGTTATTCAGATATGTTTTATCTATTTAGCAGCTTCCTTCAGCCTAGTAGTTGGTGGGTATACAGAGATGTTGTATGTTGGTTTAGCTGCTTCAGTCTCAAGCCTGATATATGCATGACTTGTCCTTTTGAATCCTGTAAAGTGTGTTTAAAAGTGAGAGGATAAGTTCTTTTAACTTCTGTGCACTTTTTTTTTTTTTTTTCCCTCTCTGGCTTATGGGCTAGTGAAATAGTTTCACAATGCAATCCTTGTCATTTACCAGTTTTTGATTCCCTTGGCGAACATGTTGAGGTTGTTGCGTATCCTTTCCAGGACGTTGCAGAACCAACCCTAACAGCCCCTGGCTGTTGTGTGGTTTCTCTAGGCAAATTTACGTCCAGTAGTTTGCCATTGCTTTCTGGACGGTCGGCTTTCTTGATACCACTGTCGAAACCAACGCAAGGCGCATTGCCCGAAGCTGGAATCGAACCCGGCATCCCGGCATTACGAAGCGAAGTGTTCGCATTGACTTAGCCACAGAGCCGACCCTTAGCGAACAGTTTAAAAAAATAGTTTTGTTGTTGCTTTTAGACTAGTACTAGAGTCCCACCATAGAAGAGACTAGGGTTTTACCACGTAATATTCCCATAGTTAGTAGTTGATCAGTTGCAACCAACCTTCTTCATATAGACAGTTTTATTTATAGCTAGGTTTCTCTTTCTAGAACAGTAAGCACTTGATGGGCTCTGTGGTCAAATTATGCCAGCTGCATTTACTTCCCAGGACATCTCCTGGTACCCATTTCAGGTTTGGTGGACCTGGGAGCCAAGGTCTTAAAAAAAAAATATGCCCAGTGTGGTTTTGAACTTGAGATTTTAGAGCCAGCAGGAGACCGTAAAATTACTCATAATAAATTGCTGTGCATAGGTTATCTATTATTGTTTACACCTTTCTCTTTTTTCAGACAATAGTGTTATTCTGTAATAAAGGGAGATGTAGGAATCACATACCATGACGATGATGAGCGTGACTAGCAAGATCCACTTGCATTGAGAAAGGGTTTCCACAATTAGATTTTGTGATCATTATTTCTATCTCATGTGTTTCTTCTTCTTCTTAGTGTTCTGTGCACATCTGTTTCACAGATCCAACTTGTTTTTATGCAGATTGTTGGTTCCCTGCCTCTCAGGCAGATGCACTCCGACATCGAAGGAAAGCTCCTAGTTAGTCGACTCAAACGACATGCTTGTTGGGGAGGCAGTGGGTCTGTTTTTGTTTTCCCCATAATGGGACCCCAGAACCCGCACAGGGATCTCATTTATAAAACCTGATTCTTCTCAGATGCTTAACTCATAGCCATAGCATAAAGCCTAGGTATTATTGTAGAGATAATATTGTTGCCTGTGCAGTAGATCACCTTTTTGGCCTGCCGTTTTACTCCAGATGAAATTATTTTAGAGCATTTTATAAAATGGAGAATATTTTATGCAGTCTTTCTTCATTAGTTGAGACGAGAAAGAGAATTCTTAAAAGCTGTATAAACCCTATCATTAAATATGGAATTTACTCTTGAATTTTTTTTACAGTTGGTAAATTAGTGAAAACTTATTTGGAAGCCGAGATGTGGTTTTATAAACAAATGAGGAGAATACCCTCGACAGATAAATAGAGTAATGAAAACGTCTTGAAAGAAACTGACTCAAGAAGAGAACTGATTGTCCACATCAGAAAGAGACAATCTACATTCTTTTGTCATGTGAAGAGAAGGAGAAATCTGAGTACATCGTGACAGTAGGAAAGTTGGAGGGGAGAAGAGACAGACGGAGGCCGTGAGAAAAGATGCAGGACAGTTTGACATGGCATGGAGGATCGTCTGTGTCAGAGTTGATTGAAAGTACACGAGATAGAAGGTTGTGGATAAACATGACTACCAGCACCACACAGCATGGACTTTAAGAAGAAGAAATTGTTCTGAATGTTACATTGTGTGCTCCAGAAGCAACCAGATGAAAAGAGCTCTTGCCCATTTAGATTCTGGGGCCCTTTAGACCCACTGACCCCCACCCTACCGACAAGCATGTCGTAAAAGTGGACTAAATAAATGATGTTTCCTGTGAAGTCAGGGTGCCAATGCATGAGAGATGAGGAACCAAGTGTCTGCCTACTAGCCAGATCTGTTAAATAAACAGAGGGGAAACCTTTGAGGCCATTACATATAATGAATTAATCAAGTAACAGAAAGTGTATCGATTGGCACTCATAGAAAGAAGTAGAAAGATAGAAGAACACACTAGACAATATAAAAATCGAAAGCTATAGTTACTGTGCCGGAAATTGAACCTGTCACCTCCAGACGGCTTGTGCGCCTTGCCATGGATACAAGTGCACTAAGAACATGGTCAACTAGGCACCCCTAGTTCTACTTCTTTCTATGAGTGCCCATCAATACACTTTCTGTTACTTGATTAATTCAGATCTGTTAAACAGATGTGCATGCAAAAACTCAAGTTCCGGAACAAGACCAAAGTCCAGAAGTGAGCGAACAACCAGAACTTTCCACCAGAGCTTATAGCTGATGAATGTGAAAAAGAAGAAGTAGAAGAAAAAAGCTGATCTGTCTGTCAGCCTCTTGGAGCTTCCCTCCCTTATAACTATGTAATGACAAACATTTTCTTGCTTTGCAGAAATTCAAAGACAAATCAACAGTGCATGTTGCTCAAGTAGATTGTGAGGTAAACAAGCCATTGTGCAGATCCCAGAATGTTCATTCTTATCCTACCATCAGACTGTACCCTGCTGGCTCCACAGGTTCTGGAATACACTAGTAAGTCTGTCAGATTTGTCAGTGTTATAGTTTTATTTGCTATAACTATGTCAGTTACCACGTAATGACTGGATTTGGGGGATTATAACTAGGTCGGCTACCATGTAACGACTGGATTTAGGGGATTATAACTAGGTCGGCTACCATGTAATGACTGGATTTAGGGGATTTTAACTAGGTGGGCTACCATGTAATGACTGGATTTGGGGGATTATAACTAGGTGGGCTACCATGTAATGACTGGATTTGGGGGATTATAACTACTTGGGCTACCATGTAATCACTGGAATTGGGGGATTATAACCAGGTGAGCTACCATGTAATCACTGGATTTAGGGGATTATAACTAGGTGGGCTACCATGTAATGACTGGATCTGGGGGATTTAAACCAGGTCATCTACCACATATCATAGGCAGGCCGGCTACCACGTAATGACTAGATTTGGGGGATTATAACCAGGCCGGCTACCACGAAATGACTGGATTAGGGGATTATAACCAGGTGGGCTACCAAGTAATAACTAGAGTTGGGGGGATTATAACCAGGTGGGCTACCAAGTAATAACTAGAGTTGGAGGGATTATAACCAGGTGGGCTACCAAGTAATGACTAGAGTTGGGGGGATTATAACCAGGTGGGCTACCAAGTAATGACTAGATTTGGGGGATTATAACCAGGTGAGCTACCATGTAATGACTAGATTTGGGGGATTATAACCAGGTGAGCTACCATGTAATGACTAGATTTGGGGGATTATAACCAGGTGAGCTACCATGTAATGACTAGATTTGGGGGATTATAACCAGGTGAGCTACCATGTAATGACTAGATTTGGGGGATTATAACCAGGTGAGCTACCATGTAATGACTAGATTTGGGGGATTATAACCAGGTGAGCTACCATGTAATGACTGGATTTGGAAGATTTATTTAAAAAACCCCTCATGGTTTAATGGACAAAAGGGTGACTTTTGGCACTCACTGTGGAGGGCCTTGAGGACGGCAAGGCCTGAAATTCACCATGGTCATCTACTGAACTTGGTGTCTTTGTCATCGACTGCACCTGGGTCATCCCTCCAGCAGGGTTCATTCCCTGCTCGCTCGATCTTGTCATGATGCTTTATTAAAATGAACACTGACAAAGGGAAGTCAGGTAAAAGAGCTGGATCGCTTGGTGAGAGACATGGGTGGAAAGAACACATACACATGACAGTTACAGAGATCTGCTGATAGTTTTGAGGTGGCAGACCATGGCATACTATGCTTTTCATTATGGCACCTTGGGAAAGAATAGTAAGTTAGAACACTTAAGAACTTCTGGCCAAAATGAAGGATAAGAAAGACATGGCAGAATGTTAAGCTTCAAAGATATTCTTGCTTCTGATTGGGACTAGGTTATGTGCGCCATATGAAATGGCTATTAGCATTGCACACCAGCAAGAGCCCTGAAAAGGACTACTGTAGTGTTGATACGATCAAAGGAGACAGACCCAAATACTGTCCGACCGGCGACAAAGTCGTCTACTGGTGAGCCAGTGGGCAACCTGGTCAGCAATGATGAGTGAACCATAAAGGTGGGGGGTGGCTTCTTTCAATAGAAGAATGAAGACCTGGTGCAGAGAAAGCTGAAGGGGTCCGGATCATTGATGCATCTCTCTTTTCGTAAGAAAGTCTTCAGAATTGACACCGGAGCTAAGGATAGGACTACTTGGTTGAAGGCCTATGCTCCATTGAGGAATAAAGGGCAGAAGAAGAAGAAAGATTTGACATCTCTGTCTCTTTGATTAATGTCTGGCTGAGTATGTGGGTGACACAGGTTCGAATCCTGGGTAAGATGATGGAAGCTTTTGCCAGTCAAAAAGTAGAAATAAGCATCTTAACCTGCATAGTTCATGGTGACTGCTCTAGCCACGCTACCCTGATTCATCAGGTTCAAGAGTTGCCGGTACTTTATTAATATCCTACCCCCAAATGACGTCACAGGAAAGTCCAACATTTTAGAGGGTGGTAAGACTGGGTTTCCCAGCTTTCTGATGCTTTTAACGACCCCAAAACATCTAGAACTGACCCTAACCCCAACCCATCTACGTCCCACGACTGCATGCAGCCTATCTACCACCACCTGAAACATGAGACTGTCCCGTGACCTGTGTATTTTCTCTGTTTGGGGTAGGATATTAATATAGCACTGACTTCCCCATCCTATAACTGCCTAAGAAGTGGTAACTGCTGGCAGTAAAGACATGCTGTTCTCCCTCTTCCATCAGTGCATACAGTGGCTGGCATCGGGATGCAACCTCTATCGAAGCCTGGGTCTACAATTACTTGCCCAGTAAAGTGACAACATTGACAGGTCGCAACTTTCACAGCCTGGTCTTGGATAGCCAGCAGCCGTGGATCGTGGACTTCTATGCCCCCTGGTGCGGTCACTGCCAAGTGTTTAAGCCGGAGTTTGAGAATGTGGCAGAGGTAAGTGGAGTCATTGCAACAAGCTTTCTTGATACTTGGGATCTGCGTTAGCGCTGTTGATAGGAGGCCCGCTTTCAAATCCAGCTGCGACTCGCTGCAGGGGCGCTTCCCAGGGTTCACCCAGCCTCTAGGAAATAGGTACCAGAGTTGACACTAAGGGGGGAATTGAGGAACGTCGCTGTAGCTACGGAGTTACAAGCAAACGGCGACACAGGCGGACAGTTTCTTATCAGCTGTCCTTACTGGTGGCAGAGCACTTATGGTTTATAAACGTGTGCAGTGACGCTGGTTTACATCTCCCGACTTTACTTTTGCCTTTTTTTGATACTTCTTTTATTCTTCTTCGTCTGCATCCAGCATCCACTTGGGTCACACAAACAGAATGCTGTGTCTAAAGTCGCCTCTGGTCGCTCATAGCTTATATTGTAATGTAGTTCCCCTACAAGATCCCTACCATGTGCTGGCAGTAGATGGGGCAATCCTCTAGCACATGTTTTGGAGTCTGTCTGTCTGCACCAACAGTCTGCAGCAGCAGATTCTTTTATATCTTATTTATACCCAGTGAAAAGCATTATTTAGTGTGAAACGGATGATAGTTTTACTGTGGATATTATCTCTTGATGGGGAAAAAAAAAAGGAAAGGGCAAAGAGATCAATACCTATATGGCTTAGCCAAAATGAGGATTCAGGACAAGAACACTGACCTGATACATGATTCTGGTTGTTGTGAACCGAGAATGCCTTTACTTATGTGCAGGGCATGTTATGAAGATAATTATTATCACATAGGACTCAGTCTCTTTCTGCAGAGTGACTGTTCACATGAAACTGTAGCTCTGTAATGACCCCCAGAGGATTTCTGAAAAACCTGAACTCTAAACCAAAGATGGAGTTGAAATTAAGCCAGCAACCTTTAGAGCACAATGCAAATGTCTTAATCACATTGTCATAAGTTCTGTATTTTCAGGGAGGGATTTTTTAGGTGTAAAATAAACTCCATGTCAGCACAGCCTACAGCGCGTATCAGGAAATTCTCTGTGATGTAAAGGTGGCTGATTTGAGATTGATGATGTCACCCACAAAATTAGGATTTGACTATCTCCTTTTTTTCTTCTTTGATTTGACTATCTTCCCAGTTTTCATAGATTAGAGGTAGCTGAACCACTGGTGTGCTCGGTTGCTTGGTACGCTGTGATTTAGGGTCTTGAGCTGTCAGTGACTCTTTTAATCTGATGTCTTTTATGTCTCCCTCTGCCTTTTGATCTTTACATTTTCCTATTGAACGCTCTTGCTGCCAGCATTGTTGTTTTCACTTTCACTGGGTGGCCAGACCATTTCAGTGGTTTTTCGACCTGGGTGAATTTAATGATGGGTATTGTTTACCAAGAACAAGATGGAAGGATAACATCAGAGAAACTCTACAACAGCACGATGTGCCTATGGTCAAGGCAGCCAGAAGAGCTAGAAACAGAACCTTATATCTCCCTCGACACCCACAGCGGTAAAAGAGGAAGTGAAGAAGAAGAAGATTGTTTCAGTTCCTCAAAAGTAAAGGCAACCTCCATGATTTTGACCAAATCACCCACTGAGTGCCGACTGGTCTATAAAATATAGGTTTAGCCCTATATACCTAATATGGCTAAAGGTGTGAAAAAGGATCAATTTTTTTTAATGTATTATTGTTTCAATATTTATTCTGTTCTCTTCATTTCTTACAGATCTCTTCTGATTTTTGTTTACCACCTTTCCAGGGTCTCATTTCACAGGCGATCCTGTATTAAGTGTATTGTCTATCAGTGTTCTCAGTTGTATCTAGCTATCTAAAACCATGAACACATTGACTTGTCTCAGAAAGTGTATTGTGAGCTTTCCCAGCTACTGATTTGATTGAAGCTGTAGCTTTCTTGTGCCTTTTTGTCTGTGCCAGAGATGGTTTGTTCGGGGAACTGCATGTACAGAAAATGGTTTTTGGCTGGTGCCACAGAACTATCATTACCTTATGCAATAATGTGTGTTGTGTGCAAGCTCTGGTTTATCACAACTGCTGCTTCTGTCAGTAATAATCTGCAATTTTTAAAGAAATACTGGTGGCCGCCTTTAGGAATTTAATGCAACTGCTTGTTGATGATTTTGCCAGGCAGTCTATTAATTTTTTTTCCCTATTGATTGTACAGTCCCCACAGTGTGCCTGTCAAACAGGACCACAAACGCCTGAGCACATTCTGCAGACCTGCCCACTCTACAAACTTTGAAAAGACACCTGGCCTCAAGAGCAAAGTGTGCAGAGCAAGCTATGGGGAAACCATAAAGGACCTGCTACTGTCATGCGAGTTCATAGAAGCAACCCACCTGATGGTCTGATCTGAGCATGCAAAACTGAAGGCAAAAAAGAAGAAGCAGATTTTTTCCCTCATGAGCCAGTAATAGACATTTTGTGTGGTTTTTCTGGCACTGCAACAGAGCGAATAAGGCGCGCCCCTTTGGATGTGTTGTTGGAACTATGACTAACATTCTGTTAACATCTTATGCCTTGTTTTTTTATTGCCCAGAGTTTAGAAGGCATTGCCAATGCAGGAAAAGTTGATTGTGACGCAGAACCCGGTATATGCAACCAGGCTGGTGTTGGAGCATATCCTTCAGTGAGGATGTATACAGGGGCAGAGAACGGGAATAGACAGGTAAGTCCTTCTTACTCGTAAATTTACAAAATAGTTAATTTTTGTTCAGTACAAGTGTTTCCCTACATTATCTAATGAAATAACGTCTTCTTGTTTTACATCATGAAACAGCTGCTTTGAAAACACAAGATTAAAGTTAAAAGTTTTATTACATCTCTGCACTTATTGTTTGCTTGTCAAGAACCTGTGATTGATTCTGTTCCCTGGTCAGCGTATTCTGCCGGCCATGTTTCTGTGTCCCTGAGCACTGGGTCACGTCCCAGTCAGCACACAAAATCATCATCTTTCGGGAACATCTCATAGCCGCACAGGACCCAGACATCTTTCATATGAAACCTAATGAAATAGTTGCTCCATATATTAAATAATGAAATAATTTCTTCATATGTTATGTCATGAAATAGTTTCTTCAAATGTAACCTAATAAAAATGTTACATAATGAAATAATTTCTTCATATGTTACATCATTAAATAGTTTCTTCTAATGTAACCTAATGAAACAGTTGCTTCGTTTGTTACATAATGAAATAATTTCTTTGTTTGTTACATCATGAAATACTTTCTTCTAATGTAACTTAATGAAATAGATTCATAATGAAATAATTTCTTCATATGTTACATAATGAAATTCTTTGAAGGTAACCTAATGAAATAGTTACTTTATGTGTTACATAATGAAATAATGGCTTCATTTGTTACTTTTTGAAATTGTTTTTTTTTTTTTTCATATCATGAAACAGTGTGTAATATAATTACGCTCTTATTCACATTATATGTAATAAAATCAAATCTTTGTATAGATTATATTAAATAATTAAATTTCTACATTTGTTACAGTTTCTTTGTTTCTTAAAAAAAAAAAAGTTACGTAATAAAACATGTTATTTTATATGTTATGTAATAAAACAGTTTCATCATTCGTTAACTAATCATTGATCGATCTATCCTGTGTTCTCAGAATGCTTATGGGTGGGATATAGACAGCCAGAATGCTGACTACATCATTCGATTTGTGAAGAATAATCTTCCAAGAGAGATAAAGGTATGTTTCAATCTAGTTTTCTTTATCTTCTGAAAGGACATGAACATTTTGCAATAAATTGGTCAATGAGTGAATAAAAACTAGATATCACTACACTCAGGATGCTTATACATCAAGTGAGTAAAGATTCTTTTCATGCCTTTAGGTGCATCAGGCAAATAAGAAAGAGCACCCATTTTTTTTTAACAAAACCAATCGGCACTAGGTGGGTAGTTTGTTCAGCATTATGCCGGCCATCTTTGCTTCCCCAGGATATACATCCTGGTACCCAGTTTTAAACTGGGTCAAACTGCGACATCCTCATACCCTGATAAAAAAATCATGCAGCCAGCAGTGGGTTTCACTCATGGTATGTTGGAATTACGAGTCGGACTCACAGCGCCTAAGGTATGGATGCCGCCTACTCTCATACGTGCTGTTTTGTTTTTTCATAAAGTGCCTTTTCCATTAATGGAGGCTGGCTTTGTTGTATTTACTACTGTCTTTGAGAAAAAGAGTGTGAGGGATTACTTTTTTTTAAAGTGTCTGCCATGGAAATCACACAACGGTGCACTGAGGATTAGATTATAAAATGATTTCACTAATCTTTAAACTAAAAAGCGGTCTCTGTCAGTGGCAGACACAAATTGATTCTTATAGTGACAGATAGGGCCTGATTAAAACTACACATCTTTTCACAATGATTAGTATATGAATTGTCCTTCTCTTTGAGTCTTTTAAACTTCCTATTCTTCTTTGTTTCTTTCTTAAAAGGCAGGTTGATCAATTTTATAGTGGTTTACAGCTGGGCTGCAGTATCTGCGGCTTTTAGCCCAACACATCCAATTTTAGTCAACCCTTAATTTGTTGTTAAAATGCTTCTTAAGAGGGTGGGGGGAAGGGGGTGGCTCTATTTTTTTCCCTCTCAAATTTAGCCCAACTCCCACCTAAGATTTGTGGTACTAAGGGAAAGCACTGTGTTTAAAAGTTACTGTTGTATATTTGGCATTCGATAAAAAAGATTCCATAGTAGTTATTATCGACAGAGTGTGAGTTACATCTTCAAATATTTATTTAGCACTCAGTGAATGACAGTTGAGGTTGTTGCTTTAAAAGTTTTACACCTTGAAATCAGAAGACCCCAGTCAGCATGGCAGACACATAGGACCTGAAAGGTCTGACACTGTGAGAATGAAGAATCTCAGTGCTGATGGCAGATCAACAGGGTGCATCCAGATACCCTTTTTAACCTCCAAGGAGATCATAATTAGGGCAGCGTTAAGGCTTCACCAACCACGTGTAACCAGTACCGGGGTTGGGGGGTGGGGTGGTGGAAAAAGGTGATAGGACATTAAACATCATGCACTAAATATAGCTAAACAGAGGGGAGAACACTTGAGGCCGTAGAACTATTATTTTTAAAATAAAGATAATGTATTGATGGGCACTCATAGAAAGATGTATAAAGATAAAAGGACACACTAGAAAACATAAAAATTTAAAGCTGTAGTTACTGAGCTGGGAATCAAACCTATCACCTCTAAGTAACTTGTGTGCCTCGCAGTGTAAACAAATGAACTAAGAACATGGCCGTCTAGGCACCCCTAAAAAGGGTGTCTTCATTGGTCATGTCCATCGGCCAACTTAAACTTCCTCGAAAATTGTTGGTTATCCATCTGATGTGGTTTGGTCAGTACTGGCTCATCTGATAAGTGAAAATAACCCCTATTCTGTCCATTTGCGGTAAATTATTATTATAATAAGAACAGTGATTGTTAAAAGTTATTATTTCATGTTATAAGTTAATATTTATAACAAAAACAATGGTAGACACGTGACTACGGTGAGCTTGCAACTGCCATAAACACACAATGTGTTGAAAGAAACTATTCGCATTTCAGTTGCATTTATCATTTTATGCTTCATTTCATGTTGATGTAACTCTGTAGTAAAGCACCTGATGAGATACAGCAAAATATGCCTGGCAATAAATTGTGCAATGTATTGTTTGTGTCCGCATTATTTAAATTTGTTACAGTAAGTTTGTTTTTTTCACGATAAAAGCAGTGTTTCAGAATCAGAATCACTGTTTGTTGATTTATTTCTTCACAGCGGAAGGACGAGTTGTGATCCTTGCAGTGAAGAGGCCATACAGATCATTCTATTGGCTGTTATCCAACAATTATGTTTTTAATAGTTCTCTCTTTCTGTACCAAGCAGCTTACCAAGCGTTCATTGGTGAGTTCACAAATCTTTCTGAATCTCTTCTATTGCAGAAATTTGTTACATTAACTCATGCTCTCCCACTTGTTAGTCTATTTCCATCTGTTTTATTCTAATTTCTCAGGACTCATACACTGGTTGCTTCGTGCTACAATTTCTTGAGACCAAAAGAGTTAAGTAATTGCTGGTTGGTACTGAAAGAATATATTTTTGTTTGTTTCATTATCTCAGCTGCAACTGTTTTAATCTTGTATTGTAATTTATTAATGCCTGTTTTGTCATCATGCATTTGTCATCATGGTATTTCGTCGTCATCATCATGATGTGCCTTGCTAGAGGGTTTAGATGGTTTTACGTGTATCCACAGATCTTTGTACGTGGTTTTCTGGATACATTTATTTCTTTTTCTGTGTTTGCCTTCAACAGTGCAGTTGACATACTGGGTTTCAGTTTACAGCTAGGCTGCGGTATTTCCGTCTTTTAGCTCAACACATTAAATTTCAGCCAACTCTTTATGAGTCACCTTTTATAACATACTTGCATCTGTGGCTTAGGCGTTGTGAATGTGCTTCGTAATGATGGGGTGCTTGGTTCAGTCCCAGCTGCAGACGAATATTCTTGAGTTGATTTCAACAGTGGTACCGAGAGCTAGGGAGTCATTGCGGCCGAGTGGCTAGACGCTCACCTGCAGATCAGAAGGTTGTGGGTTGGCTTCCTGGCGAAGCCAGACTGAAAAAAACATTTACCCTGGCTCCCAGGTTAACCAAGCCAGGAGTGGTTACCGGGTGCAGTCCCGGGAAGCAAAGGTGGCCGGCATGATGCTGACCACATCACCCATCTTGTGCCAATAGGTATATAAAATAAAGGTCTAGCCCTATATACCTAAGGGCATGGAAAAGGGTCCATTACTTTTATATTTTACTTACAGAGAGCTGACCCTTGGTAGACTACTGAACATAAACTTTGCATAGAAAAACCACAAGTGCCAATAATTGCTGTGGTTGGTTCTGCAATGTCCTGTAAAGGATACACGGCTAACTTTCTTTTTGTTTGGGAAAGCAGAGGGTCTTTTTGTTTGGGAAAGCAGAGGGTCTTTTTGTTTAGGAAGGCAGAGGGTCTTTTTGTTTGGGAAGGCACAGGGTCTTTTTGTTTGGGAAGGCAGAGGGTCTTTTTGTTTGGGAAGGCAGAGGGTCTTTTTGTTTGGGAAGGCAAAGGGTCTTTTTGTTTGGGCAGGCACAGGGTCTTTTTGTTTGGGAAGGCAGAGGGTCTTTTTGTTTATGAAGGCAGAGGTTCTTTTTGTTTGGGAAGGCACAGGGTCTTTTTGTTTGGGAGGCACAGGGTCTTTTTGTTTGGGAAGGCAGAGGTTCTTTTTGTTTGGGAAGGCACAGGGTCTTTTTGTTTGGGAAGGCACATGGTCTTTTTGTTTGGGAAGGCAGAGGGTCTTTTTGTTTGAGAAGGTACAGGGTCTTTTTGTTTGGGAAGGCAGAGGGTCTTTTTGTTTGAGAAGGCAGAGGGTCTTTTTGTTTTGGAAGGCACAGGGTCATTTTGTTTGGGAAGGCAGAGGGTCTTTTTGTTTGGGAAGGCGCAGAGTCTTTTTGTTTGAGAAGGCAGAGGGTCTTTTCTTTATCGCCTCAAATGGGGCCCAGGAAACCACTCATGAACATCAAATTTTATTGAAGCTTTTCCTCTATAGAATTTTCTTAAGACACCTAGTGTTTCTCATCCAGTGTCTGCCTCATCTTTGTTTGATTTTCAAAGCTTTCCATTGTCATATATGCTAAAAGAACACTATTTTGTGTGTGTATGTGCCATCTCCAAAATGGAAGTTTGCTGCTGTGAATATGTGCATTCACTCTGCTGTATTTGATAATATTATGGTGAGACTGTTGTGCAAATGTTCGAAAGCTGTGAGGATTTTTTTCCACTAAACCAGCTGCCTCAGAAATTAAACTCTGTTATGTCAAGGAACAGAATCTTAAATATTTTGGGCAAAGCAAGCTGATTGTAAATAATAATAGCAGAAAGCATGGTACCAAGATGGAGGGGCAGGGGCCGACCAACACAAATATGGACACTGGATATGACTCCTTGAATACAAAAGTACACAAGGAAGGAGAGCTGGTGAGAAATGGAGTTTCTTTCGGGCAGACTGCAATGAGAGCGAAGTTCTGCAAAGGACCTGCTACATGTTGATAGTGATATATCGAGGATTGTGAAACCATTTACTGCTTCCAAAGCCACAAATTTGCACCGTGTTTTATAGTTGCAAATAATTGTTTTCATTAGCTTACCTCAAGGAATCAGGCAGGTGGCCTATTGCCAAAAAACTGGTGGTTCAATTACTTACTGACGTATTTTTTTTTTGTAACTGCAAATTCCATCAGTGATGAACTACATTTCTGGTGCCGGACTGCTTATGCTGGCACTTGTAACAGCTGCCTTGTGCGTTTAATATGTGTGTGTGTGTGTGCTATTGGTTTTGCTGGGACTGCAGTTTGTATCTGGGTTTTTTCACAAGGGACAGTGATGGACATTCTCTGTGGTTTTTATTGGCACAGTAATAGAGCAACTATGGGGTGACCAGTTTGCTATGAAGTTGGAACTGCATGTACCTGACGGAATCATTAGTTACTAAGATCACACTCTTCTTCTTCTTCTTCATTGAGTTCACTGGTAGCCAACTCTGGTAGACAGTTCTAGTTGTTCTTCCACTTCTGTTATTTTAAAACATGAGTTTTGTATGCATATCTGTTTTACAGATTTGGCTTCTTTGTGTGCAGATTGTTAGTTCCTCACCTCTTAGGCACATGTACTCTCACTTCAAAGTATACACCCCTACTTATTTGACCTTTAGGAAATGCTTTTTAACTTTTCCCTCCAAAATTGACCCCTAGAGCCGGTAACAAAATGAAATGCTAAAAGTGCACCAGTTATTTCTATCTCATAGTGGCTTGGAATTTTTCAAATTGACACTATATTAGTCTTTACAATTGTTCAATTGTTGATTATTGTCATGCTATTTTCTCACCATCATATTTTTGTCACACTTTGGGATTTGTGGAAGGGGGGAAGGGATAAAGATAGACTTATTTGTTCATGATTAGCATGCAGTATTATGGTTTACAGCTAGGCTGTGATATCTCCATCTTTCGGCTGTGCACATCCAATTTCAGCAAACTCCGACGTAGTTGCCTTACACGACAGACTTATTGGAGCAGTAGGTCCTGCAGAATGAGTTCTCAGAGCCCACAGAGGGATGAAGATAAACTACGACTGTGACCTTGATCTTTTATGTAAATTTGTCTTTTTAAGGGCCAGAAACTGCTACTAAGTTTTGAAGTGGTAGGCTGTTGCACATTCTGGTCCATAAAGGTTCTTTCAAAGAAGAATTAAATCCCAGAGTTCCATTCCCCCTCCCCCCCACCCCTTCTTTTTCCCCCTAGATTTATTACATGAATGTGTGTGTGTGAGTGTTTTCTTTCAATCTGACCTCTGACCTGCATTTTATATTTCTTCCTCTAGCTGGCAGTTGTGTAGTAAATTTTATGGCTGTTCTGTTAGTTGAATTGTGTACTTGGTTCTGTATATTGTGTGGTTCATTTTGTTCAGTTTGTGAACTGTGTTGCTAAGATTTGTATATGAACCAATGCTAAATCTTACAACATTTTTTATTATTAGCCGCTGATGATTTTGTTTCATGAACCAACAATCTTACACATTACAGAAACTGTTTCCTTTGTTGCTGCAGGTGATTTCTCATTAACCAATGCTACACATTAGGGAAAATGTTGTCCTTTGTTGCTGCAGGTGATTTCTCATTAACCAATGCTACACATTAGGGAAAATGTTGTCCTTTGTTGCTGCAGGTGATTTCTCATTAACCAATGCTACACATTAGGGAAAATGTTGTCCTTTGTTGCTGCAGGTGATTTCTCATTAACCAATGCTACACATTAGGGAAAATGTTGTCCTTTGTTGCTGCAGGTGATTTCTCATTAACCAATGCTACACATTAGGGAAAATGTTGTCCTTTGTTGCTGCAGGTGATTTCTGATTAACCAATGCTACACATTAGGGAAAATGTTGTCCTTTGTTGCTGCAGGTGATTTCTCATTAACCAATGCTACACATTAGGGAAAATGTTGTCCTTTGTTGCTGCAGGTGATTTCTCATTAACCAATGCTACACATTAGGGAAAATGTTGTCCTTTGTTGCTGCAGGTGATTTCTCATTAACCAATGCTCCACATTAGGGAAAAATGTTGTCCTTTGTTGCTGCAGGTGATTTCTCATTAACCAATGCTCCACATTAGGGAAAAATTTTCCTTTGTTGCTGCAGGTGATTTCTCATTAACCAATGCTACACATTAGGGAAAATGTTGTCCTTTGTTGCTGCAGGTGATTTCTCATTAACCAATGCTACACATTAGGGAAAAATGTTGTCCTTTGTTGCTGCAGGTGATTTCTCATTAACCAATGCTCCACATTAGGGAAAATGTTGTCCTTTGTTGCTGCAGGTGATTTCTCATTAACCAATGCTACACATTAGGGAAAAATGTTGTCCTTTGTTGCTGCAGGTGATTTCTCATTAACCAATGCTACACATTAGGGAAAATGTTTCCTTTTTTGCTGCAGGTGATTTCTCATAAATCAATGCTGTTTTCTTTTCTAATAAACTGACCCAACTCCTTCTAGAACTTTAATTTTCAGCCATGGCTGGTTGCACTTTTATGCTCTCATATCTTCAGGAGCTGGTTTCAGTATTATTAATTACTATTATTGTTATTAATGTTAATGTTATTATTATTATTATTAATATTACATTGTTGCTGATACTCCTGCTTGACAGTTTGTCAGTTTTATTTGGATTTTCTCTGTACATTATTGTGATACTATCTGCTGTATATG